GATGTCCCACCAACTTCCCACACAAACTCTTCTTGTCCCAAGTTTTTCTATTGTTAGCGCTTAACTTAGCGCGCACTTATGCTAAAGGAACACACAATTTTTTGAATGCGCACAGATCAAGCTCGGCCCAATAATTACATCCTCGGTTGAATTCGATTTTAATTTTTTTTTTTTTTTCTGAAATTCCATGCACCCCGAATTAAACATTGGCATATTTCTCAACGGTTTTTTTTAAGCTCAACAATGTCAATCGTTTTTCTTAAAGTTTTTAATGTTGGGACAGCATGTGGACGGAGTTGTAATAAATAAAAGTTTCTGTCTTGTAGGGATTTAAGTGGTGGGTGCAATAGATGTTCCGTAAAACTGAGCTGAGGTATATATTGATAAGCATAGCTGCTACCAGTTTCCATTTTACAAGTAACGATTTTATCCGAGTATCTACCCCTCCCCCCGCATTTTCGCATCATACTTTTTCCCGTAAACTCCGTTTCAGCACAGACAGAATTTTTTTTTTCTTTTTTTTCTTTTTTTTCTTTTTTTTCTTTTTTTTCTTTTTTTTTTTTTTCTCTTTTTTTTTTTCGAATGACAAATTTTACTCCTTTCTCTCTTCACATGCAATATATACAAAATTCTTATTTATACAGCATCAAAATTATTTTATCCTCCCAGTCATCACATTTCCTCTTCGCAAACACACCAGACTAACTATCTGCCAACTCGTATTCACACCCATATAGCCACATCTCCACAAATGTCTGCGGAAAAACGTTTAATCAGGGAATACACTTCATACAAGAAACAACCACCTCATACCAACAACCACCAAATAATACAACTATCCCCCGTCTCCGACGACTCGCTACTCCACTGGCAAGCAACCGTAGCCAAACCCACAAAGTCTGATTCCCCTTACTACTATGGCGGTATCTGGAAACTAGCTATCGAAGTTCCTACCAGCTATCCCCAACAACCACCAACGATCAAATTCATCACACCCATAATCCACCCCAACATCAACTTCCAAACTGGTGAGATATGTCTTGATGTGTTGAAATCACAATGGAGTCCAGCCTGGAACTTGGAAAGCTTGGTTGTCGCCATTTTGCAATTGTTGGATAATCCAGAACCGGATTCACCGTTGAATATCGATGCCGCTAATTTATACAGATTGGATAAAGTTGCATTCGAAAGTTTGGTACAGTTTGAGATTTGGAAATGTGGTAACTTTTACCAATTGAATTTGAGTACTTTGAGCCAAATGGACAAGAAACTGAGATGTTTGACGAGGGACGTTTCAGGGGTGAAATGTAACTAGAAGAAAAACCTTTATAGAAATAACGAATGTAACGAATGTGAACAAGCCGCTTACTTTATTTCTCCAATCTACTGTTTTGCAATCCACCTCTTTATAATCTATTTGTGACTTTGAAAATAACATCTATGCGCTTTATCTCTATAATTTATATAGCCCTCATGGTTACTCCTCCGATACAAACACTGTGGGGATACTCGACTCCTTCCTCTCACTAGCCTTTCCATTAGCATCAACACTCTCTCCACTTTGATGTTCTCCTCCATCACCAAATGTAAACACGGGAGGCGCATTAACAGCAGCATGCGCAATTGGCACCGACTTGGGTTCAATTATGAACGAGTTTAAACTATCCGAGGACGGCTTTTGTACACCCAACCCTTTGATTGAAGGAGAAGAAGAGCCAGAAGATTCGGAATTGCTCCTCTGTTGTTGTTGTTGTTGTTGTTGTTGTTGTTGTTGTTGTTGTTGTTGTTGTTGTTGCTGCTGCTGTTGCTGCTGCTGCTGCTCTTGCTCCTCAAGACGTACTTGCTGGTCATGAATATTTTGCAACTTCTTTTGAATAAGCTCAATATTCTGCTCTTCCTGAGACTTGAGGTTGGAAATTGCCGTCTCTTGTTGTACAAGAGCTTGTTGTAACCTCATATACTCTTCATGCTGATTTTGATGCTCTGTTGCTGAAAAGGTGGTGGCATTAGTAGGTGAAGCAGCCACATTTATGGGTGGTGGTGTCATTGCCATTTGTGGAGACGTAGACACACTCTTTGACCTAGGACCAACGTTTGACTGCCCTTGCGGTATTGCAGAGATTCCATCAAATGGATTCTCCTCCTCCTCTTGAAATGGCGACTCATTTGGTGTCTTGATCTTGGGCGTAAACATTCCCGACAATGCTGGGTTCGAAGCATTGCCCAACTCCAACGCCAATCCAGCTGCAGCAGCATGTTTCTTGGACTTTCGAACTGGTTGTATACTTTGATCTGCTTTTCTCTGAATAAATGCAAACCTAGCATAATGGTCATTTCCAAATTTCAACAATTCCGACAAATCTTCAATCCAAGATTTGTAATCTTCAGCAGTGGCACATTTGAATGTCTTTTTGGACTTGTTGGACAACTTAGTGAGGGTAAATTTAAATGAAGACTCGTCCTTAACGGCAATGTCATAATCATTGAGATTATAAGACTTAACAGGCTCATCCTCATATCCAATAAATCCCCCAATTTTATCCTTTGACTTTTTCATTTGTTGGTTAATCTCTTCATTGAATTTGAACTCGTGAAGGTAGTTGCATGAGAGGATATAGTAGTGACGCGTATAGTTTTTCATAAGCTTCTGTTTCTTGTACATCAATCCAAACCGAAGACACTTGTTTTGTATCGAATCCGCATACGGCAACACAACCAGCTTGATGGTACGGTTTTCTCTCTTGGGGTTCAAATCAGTGGCGTAGTATGTATTGACAAAGCAGTTGTTGTGTGTGATAAAGTACTCCCAATCAGCAGTCGAAGAACTACTGATCTTTGTTTTCAAAAATTGATAAAACTCCGAGTTGAAATCCAACTTGCCAAACTTATCAACTACCCAATTCAATTCCTTCAATAAATAAGTGAACAAGTCCCTACTAATGTTTTGTAAATTGACATACGAGGCAATCATGTAGTTTTCAAAAAGCAACTGCTTCTTTAACCGAGAGTCAACATCCAACTTCACCAACAATGGATCATCCAAAGCTGCAAATTCCTCGTCTTCTCCCTCATAGTCACGCAAGTATCCCTTGACAACCGGCTTGCTCCCACAATAAGACTCTACAGCAGCAGTGTATCTACTCAAAATTTGACCAGTCTTGGAGATCTCCCTCAGCAATTCCGCATTTGCAAACGCATCGTTCTTGAGTGAAGTTTTAATCTCCTTGATCTTGTGGGAAACTTGCTTCAACAACACTTCCAACCGAGGGATTATCTTTGTGCTGAGATCTTTGCGGAGTTTAAAACTGTTGTTGAATGCGACATGATGAGAACTTAAAAGAACCGCAGGCAAGTTGGTGTAGAGAGAATTGTCGGGGAAAAAAGTGGGTGGGATTTTCACATCATTGGTGTTGATAGCTTCTGGGTATGACAATGGAGGCGTTGACGCACCAGTGGCTTGAAGCTGAGGCGACGGTGGCTGCAGTTGTTGCAGTTGCTGCAGTTGCTGCTGCTGCTGCTGTTGACCACCGCCTAGTTGCTTTACTGCACCAAATGACGAGTTCCTCTTGTGTAAGTTGTTTGCAGCATTTTTCAAAAACGACTGATTGGAGTTGGATTTGGACTTGAATAACCCTGGGCGCTGCTTATCTGTGAGTGAACCTGTAGTCTTCAGATGTGTTGGATGCATTGGTGATCCACAAGTCGAAATACCAGCGCTTGAAGAAGTTATTGGACCCGATGGAATGTTTGAAGGTGTGGTGGGAGTGAAAGATGCAGTGCTGGCATTTGCATTCATTGACGATAAGCTACCACTTGACAAGTTCCTCTTGACTTCCTTGGTTGGGGTAGAGTTCTTGGGCAGCAAAGTTCCACTTATTCCTGGAGTGTTCAACCTGATATCATGAAGGATTCTATGAGGCAAGTCTTTACAACCAGGAAATTGTACTGCACTAATCAATTGATAGTTTAAATTCGCTTCTAGCTCCTTCACAAGAAGAATCTCTTTGAAATAGTAGATGATTGATTTGATGAAATACTTCCACAACTTGAAAAACTCAATCAAATTGTCAATTGGTTTGGAATCGTACGGTGGTAAGTTGTAGTAGAAAGGAGACCGTGGATCTGATGATGGAAGAACTTTCTCCTTTGTAAACTGGAAAGTCGACTGGGGAATCATTGCAGAGTGGCGTGGGGGATGCTATCGGGCCCTCCAGGAGTTAGATGGTTGTGTATCAGTATATCTGCGCTGGAATGTTTGAACACTTTATATTAGACTTTGAAAGGAGTTTTCTAGTTGTTGTTGTTGTTGTTGTTGTTGTTGTTGTTGTTGAACCAAGTGCAAACCTGCGCCAAGAAAAAGAAAAAAACGCTTAGAAGTCCAAAAGAGAAAAGAAAAAAAAAAAAATTAAAAAAAAAAGAAATTTAAAGTTTTTTGACATGTAAGAGAAGTTAAGAGACAAGCGTCGACAGGTTGGAAGGAAGGAAGAAAGGGGTTGGCGCAGTATAGGGGTGGGGTGCACTCTTGGACCATAGCAAAAAAAAGAAAAAAAATGGAGGGACTTCTACATATTTGGTTTGTAAAGGTGTACATAGGAGCTTGTTGAAAACAGCAATTAAGTTGTAGTTTGTGCGTACGATGTAAGCCACAGAGCGTATCCACAGCAACCATTATTAAACCTTCAACTTCTGCGTTGCACCAGAGAGACTAAAAGAGGACCCACATTAGTAGTACTAAGATGCGACAAAGTCAATTAGTGCAGAGATTGTTGTTTGATTCTGTTGTTTAGAAGGAACTGACTACGCGCAGAGTGCGTATGGGAAGGGGGGGCGGGAGGGGTGGAGGAAAAGGATGAGACGGAAGAATCAACTACCAAACTACGATTTTGTTAACAATGCAAAACATATCACAAAATCAACACATTTTTGAGGTTTTTATTTTTTTATTTTTTTATTTTGATTTTGTGAAACTCGACGATCTTCTCTTCAGTTCGATCTAGAACCAGTGAAATTACACCTTGTTTTTTTCTTCAGAAGCATTGGATATCTCTTGTTACAGAGATATGCAAACATAATAGTGAAAGAGTTTGTTTACTTCTATTCTAAAATTAGAATCAATGTATAGTAATCACCTTACTTCTTCTAGCATTGGAAAGAAAGTCATAATTCCTGGTAACTCAGCATTATTGCAGTTTGAGTTGTCTTCAGCTCTACGCTCCTGCCGACTTTCACATCTTTGTTTAGTGTGTCTCGCTTGGTTTCAGTACATTTAACTCTATTCTACTTACCATCCGCATGCTCTTCTTTGTCATTGCTTCCTGCCAACTGGGCAACCTGCTGCTTCAACATCCCAATCTCAACCAACAAACTTGACTTGCTACTTGTACTAACCATCTTTACCAACTCATCGTTCTCCACTTGCAACTGAGTCATCTTGTAAAGAAGCTTATGACTCAACTCCTCCAAGTCGTACCCAACCGCAGTATTGCTACTGACACGATTGGCAACAAGAATAATCTCCATTCTTCGATTGACATCATCCAACTCTTGACATTTCTCTTGCAACGTCTTGGACAAGTCCTGAAACAATTGATAGTGGTTTTGCGGTAACTTGAACGATTCACCAACATCTTCTTTGACCTCGTTATAGGCTCCTACTCTACCATTCTTATTCTTGATCATAACATTGATCTGATCAGTCAAATTCTTAATCATTTGGTTCTTCAAAATCAATTCATTTTTCAACTTTTGCACCTCTTCTTTCAAATCCAAGCCACTATCCTCATCCACAAATTTGGTTCCAATAGTGGAGTTGGGTGTCATGGGAAACCTGTTTCCATATGGAACATAACTAGGTGCATTGAGCATACTGTTTTTCATGTACTTGTTTGTTGCTGTTGTTGTTGTTGTTGATGCTGCTGCTGTCGCTGTGTACGAAGGCCTCCTTTCAGTAGAGTCAAAATAGACTTCTCCATTGACATCTTGCAACTCCTTGGCCAACGGTTGAAACGGGTTTGGCTTGTTTTGCCAATTCGAATGATACGCCGACTGATTCCAAAGCTTCATCGGGGTATGAAGGTCTGCGTGGTACAGGTAGCCTTGCCCAGTATTTTGCAAAGCATTCTGTTGTTGTTGTTGTTGTTGTTGTTGTTGTTGTTGTTGTTGTTGTTGTTGTTGTTGCCCCCCGTGCATCTGGTTATGAGTCGTCTGTTGCCAATTGAAGTTTTGAAAATCGTTACTGCTGATGTAGCTATTATTGGCAGCAGCTGAGTCAACTGTATTGTCGCAAGATTGAGGAGGAGGTGGAGGAACATCCAGATGTGTTTGGCTTGATGAAAAACTCATCAGATTGAATGACTTGGTGGTTGTGTTAGACACATTGATACTTGTAATATGGATGTAAACTATACATACTTTTGCCAAGGAGGACTCATTCATTGTGAAAGGTATAGACTTGAGGAAACGAGGAGCTGTAACACGGTCAAGATCAATGCAAGCCTTTGCGGAGAATCAATGGCTACTCTAAACCGTGATGGTGGTGGTGGTGGTGGTGGTGGTAGTGAATGGTGTTGCAAAAAAAAATGGTATAGGGTGAGAAAAGAGAGGTCGTGCAGTGGCGCTCAAAAGAACTGACCAGCGCCACCAATCATCTGCTGCAACATTTGACCAGCTGGCGTATTCAACACCACCTCCGGCAACTTCAATATCCTATCATCCAACGTTTTATCACATAAGAACTCCAAAATCGTATTTGTAAAATGATTACAATTGTTGGTGAACAAGTCGTACTGGGCAGCATCGTACTTCATATCCTCCCTGCTCCGAAGATCATTGACAAACGCTTCAATCGTCTCGTCATCAACATACGTCTCCCCAACATCAATCACCTCGATTGGAGCCCCGTATTTGAGATGGTGCGATTGGGCTTTAATCACTTGTATGCCGCGGTCGATGTAGTATTCTTTGCCTCTCACGACAACCGATGTGTGGTAAATAGCCTCAATCTCTGTACCCAAGAGCATACGACTGTATGTTCTGGCAAGACCCCTGGATAAGTCGTATACATAGACTTGTACTGGTGCTGCTACTGCTTCCTCTTCCTCCATTGCGGTTGATGGCAAAAACCAAAAAAAAAAGGAAAAAAAGAAGAGACGGAAGAGGGAAGAAGGAAAATCGAGACACAGAGAAGAAAAAAATAACATAGAATAAAACTGACATTGGCAATTATGCAACAGGCAAATGCAGATCGGGTAATAGAAAACTTTACCCTGCAAAGCTCCTTCATGTTAGATACGCGTCCGAAAAGAGTGGTCCCTGCTGCATCTTGCATATAGTTCCTGTAACTAAGTACATTAGAGTACCAAAATCAGATGTTTTATGAGAGAAAAAAAGAAAAAAAAATAAAAAATTATTCTGATCTAGACCTTACAAATTCACCACGTTTCCTTCTGCTCTTCCTTCAATGACAACTGGTGTACCTCAACCATGGACTCGACAATCAAACACAGAAACTCAGAGCAGACATTCACATTCGTCACTCCTCCAGCAGATGCTCCTATTGAAGTATTGAATGATTTCTACTGGACAACCGACGCAGAACCACACGCGCTTCGTCGGAAATTGATTCTTGCAAAATACCCCGAAGTGAGAAAACTCACGGGCTATGAGCCAAAGACAAAGTGGTACGTTTTATTGGTGGTCCTTTTACAGTTGTCAGTCGCAAGCTATCTCCGAAACACGCCAATTTTATCATGGAAGTTTATCACTTTGGCGTATGTTCTTGGTGCAACTGCGAACCAAGCAATTTTCCTTGCAATACACGAATTGAGTCACAATCTATTGTTCAAAAAGCCCTTGCATAACAAGTTGTTTGCTATATTCACAAACATCCCCATCGGAATCCCCTACTCTGCCTCCTTTCAACCATACCACCAATTACACCACAAATACCAAGGCGATGAATACTTGGACACCGACTTGCCAACTCGATTTGAAGCTATTGTCATGTCCAATCTCCTAGGAAAAGTGTTTTTTGCAACTTGTCAAATATTCTTCTATGCGCTTAGACCCATGTTTATCACGCAGATAAAGTTCACCTATATCCATTTGCTAAATGTGGTACACCAGATTGGCTTCGATTACCTTTGGGTAAACATCTTTGGATGGAACAGCTTTGCTTATTTCATTATGAGCTCCTTCTTAGCAGGCTCGTTGCACCCATGTGCCGGTCATTTCATTGCTGAGCACTATGTGTTGAGTGAAAATAACAAGCCTAGGAGTGAAATCCCAGTACCTCCCGAGACCTACTCCTACTATGGCTCTCTCAACTTGGTCACTTGGAATGTGGGCTACCACAATGAACATCACGATTTCCCGTATGTTGCTTGGACAAAGTTGCCTGAACTTAGACGCATTGCAGCAGAGTTTTATGACCCATTGCCCGAAGTTAAAAGCTGGTGTGGAGTGATTTGGTCGTTCATCTTTGACGATGTGAACACGCTATGGAACAGAGTGAAGAGGAAAGGAAAGGAAAAACATGGACACAAAATAGACAATCTAGATAAAAATCAGGACGCTTAAGGAAGGCGAGAGCTCAAGACAATAGAAAGAATAAACTATACTCTACTAGTCTCTATCAAAGTTGTAATTTTACAAACGACACCATCTCGTCAACTGAAATCAAATCACCTTCATTCTCTTCACCTTGGCCAAGCTTCTTGACTCTAACCTTACCTTCAGGGTACTCCTCTTTACCTAATATGACTGCAAGTTTGGCACCCGATTTCTCAGCTCCATCAAACTGTTTACGAGTATTGGCTTTAGCTTTGTACAAGAACTCCGCGTTGATGCCTGCTTTCCATAATTGGTTTGCAACTTGCATCCTCTCCTTTAAAAATCCATTCCATCCGTCACCACCACCAAATGCCATTACATAGACGTCTGTGTGTTGAGAATTGAGCTTTGACAAATCTGTTCTCTGTTTAATGATGGAGAATAATCTCTCAACACCAAAGGAGATACCAACACAAGGGATCGACTTGTTGTTTGAAAACATACCAACTAAGTTGTCGTAACGACCACCTGCAGCAATTGAACCAACCCCGACATATGCCGAAGCATCTTCATCCTCACTCTTGGCCTCTTTTTTCAACTCGCTTGCATTTTTTGGTGGTGCGCTAGCTGCTGTAACAGCTTCGTAGATGAGTCCAGTATAATAATCCAAACCCCTGGCCAAGGACAAATCGAAACTCAAACGATCTTGAATGTCGAAAGCTTCAACGTAATCAGCCAACACCTCCATCTCTTGGATACCTTGTTGCGCTGTTGCATTATCAATTCCACTTTTCTTCAAAATTTCAATTACCTGACGAATAGATCCGCTGTGTTGAACAAAAGTCCAAATTTTGTCTGCAGTCTCCTCACTTTGTCCCTTTTCCAAGATTTCCTTCCTCACCGCTTCCCAAGGCGACTTGTCTAGCTTATCAATTGCTGACGAAACCTTACGGACATCCTCATCCGGCACCCCACAAGCTTGGAAAATACCGTCCAATATCTTACGATGGTTCAACTTGACTTTATAGTCTTTAATCTCCAACTCATCTAACCCTTCGCAAAGGATGTTCAAAATTTCCGAATCTGGAACCATCAAGTCAAAAGTACCAGCAATATCAAAATCACATTGGTAAAACTCTCTCATTCTACCTTTGGTCATAGCTGGTTGATCTCTACGATAAACCTTTGCAATGTGGTATCTCTTGATACTACTCAAGTTGTTGCAGGCGACAAATCTTGCAAAGGGCACCGTCAAGTCGTATCTCAACGAAGTCAATTCACCCCCTTGATCTTCCAAATTGTAAATCAATTTGGAATCCTCACCATATTTACCAGTCAAGATTTCTCTCAATTCAAAAACTGGCGTATCAATAGTGACACCTCCATGTTTCTGGAAAAGGGTAGACAATTTCCCAAAAATGGACTCTCTTATGATCATGTCCTTATCGGCCCAATCCTTGGTACCTTTTGGAGTCTTGAGAATGAATTCTTGTGCCTTTGCTTTCTTAGTCATCGTGGTGAAGAGCCTTCTAATCATGGACAAGAAGGGCTAAAAAAAAAAAAAAATTGTTAACAGAGCTCAAAAATTTTCAAAATTACCCATCAGCCGCCTTCTTATTTGGGCAATGCTGCGGCTCACAATTTTTTTTATTCCTGTATAATCTATTTAATCCTCGTTTACACCATTTGATTTGGAGTACTTCAAACGTAGCATGCCATCCGTGAGAATTCTTTTACCCCAGCTGCCTGCAGCGGCACTACCTGTTTCATCTCTACACTGCTTCAAAAAGGGAAGAAGGGACGTACCACCAGTCCCTTTTTCCTCCTTCTTTTGCCTAGCTAATCCTGACCTTATAGTGGATCCCATCTTGTTGACTTTTTTAGCTTGAAGGACAATGTACCTAGTCACAATTTGTATGTGTTTGTCCCTGAATGATTTCAACATTGCCAAGCATGCATCATAAGCCAAAGTCAACGCTTCATCGTGTTGGGATTGCACAAAATCTCTAATCGTGAATGTGTATGGTTCTAAAGCTTCAAGGAACTCACGGTGCTCCCGTGGCATATACTCTCTCATTTCTCTTATGAACGAGTCATCATGAGCAACACCTAAAAGGATGTCAAAAAACTGAATCAATGACGATTGAGCGTTGGAGCCACCAGCATAGCTCCTCATGCCCTCTTCGTCTCCATAGCGTACCCCCTTTTCAAGACCCACACTGGCCATGTTCTTCCATCCAGCTAAATAGGGTCGCATTCTGAAATAAAAGATATGTGGGTCACACATTTCCTCCATGAGCATCATGTGTGATCCAAGTATATCGATACTTTCTGCTAGTTGCTGAAGGGAAGTAGTAACTGTTGAACTACCGCGTTCTGCGCCTTTCAAAGCCTCTAACCCTTTGCGCAAACAAAAGCTGCCCTCTTTCTCAAACCAGACACTGACCAAGTAAAACCAGCTTTCGTCGATACCCCCAGTAAATGTATTAATCGTGGTCAAATTGTCCAAGGTGAAATCTCCCTCCTCATCAATCTTTTTATAGTTCCAAAGACATAGCCCGGAATACGTTCCTATAGGAGGAAGTCCCAATTTCTGAGATACAGCAACCCAAGGAACAGCAATCTGCAGTGGCAATTTGTCAACCGGCTCACCAGTCCAAATATATGCATGGCCAATAAATGACAACACCTGATAAGCCCTTCTTTGCTCTCGAACACTTAATCCGTCCGTGGTCAAAACCGGAAGCTTGTCAACCACTGCCCTGATCCGTCTATTCATGATATACGATGGCAAGTTGTGCACTATATCCTCCCATGGTTTATAGTAGTCCTGTGGGAGACGCTCCAACGGAAGTTCTGAAGGAAGAAATCCTGTCTCTGGACTAACGTCAAACTCTTCTAACGTGGGGATCATTGTGGAGCAAAGCAAAAGGATATGTGTCAGCTGACGAAATTCCTTTTTTTTTCTTTTTCCTTTTTTTCTTTTTACACATAAATGTGTGACATATTTCGAGTGCGACAACTGAGCAACCACAGTTATCTACAAAAGACTCAAAACAGAAGTACAAATTAATTAAAAAAACGTATCCCTTACATCTTTATATAATTGGATGGGAACAAACCGGTAACTCCGTTGTACTTTCCCATCCACCAACCCGGATCATCTTTATTGACAATTTCAATTGTAGCACCAGCTGGAAAAGAGAGATCGCCTTGTGCTTGAGCAGTGTAGTCGTAAAGAGCAATACAAACCTGGGGAGCCTGAGCAGGAGCCTGAGCAGGAGCCGTAGGAGGCGGCGTATTCACATACGCAGGCGGAGCTTGAGGCGATGCATACTGCGGTTGCTGGTAACCAGTTTGGGGATACCCATTTGGATCTGAAGCCTTGTAGTCCGGATTATAGGTTGATTGATAAGGTGGGGCCAGTGGAGTAGGGGAGCCAGGGGCCAGAGCTCTTGCTGCCTGAAGCCTACCAACCTTTGACTTTGCATAACCAACCTTAAAATGAGTGATACCAATAGCATCTGTTTTTTCTTCAATGTCCCCCTTTTTCAAATTATAGGCTTCAACTATATCAGAATCCATGTCAAAGTATTGGATTTTCATCTCACTTGCCCTCGTATACAACGTATAATAGATGCTTAGTTGCATGTAATAAAAGGACACTACCAAGTCGCTTATTACCGTATTGTTATATTCGAACAACACCGGGAGCTGCGCAAGCAACTCTCCGTTATAAAAATCATATTCTTGTTGCGCCACACTAACCTCCGCTTCAGCTTTGTACATTTTCTCCTCATCCTTGGGAGTTCTTTCTTTCTTCTCTTGCAACTTGGAGTAGGTTCTCTGATGTCTATCAAGATCCAATCTCTTGTGTTCTCTTTTGGTTGCCGTTTTTCTGACTCCATTGATAACCTTGAGCAACTCCTCAGCAGGAATCACCACTCTTTTTTCAATCAATTCCAAGTCTGGTTTCAACTCCTCTTTCAATTCCGCCACCAATGCTCTATATTGCTCTGCTGCTTCGATACCAGCGGGGTTATCTTCTGGAACAATGGAAGTCGGATCAGACACTCTGCCACTAATTGGCTTATAGATCTCTTCAATAGCTTTTGAGAACTCAATTTGATTATCCAACATTCCACTGATAGCTTTGAAATACTTCTTGGACTCGTCGTTCAACTTCTTTGTCTCGATCTCGATCTCCTTGAATCTCCGCTCGGCATCTTCGTAAACGGCGTCGTGGGTGATATCGCCTCCCATGTTCAACTTTTCACGGAAGTTTTGAGGAGCCCTTATAATGGACTTTTTCAATCCCTTGAATGACATGCTTCTAGGTGGGCGATGATTGATTGATTAGGTTATTGATGGGTTGACAGAGTTGTTTGGTTTTCGACGCTGGAAATAAAGTGTGCGAGGATTTCTCAGGAATGTTGAGAGAGGCGAGGTTTGATAACGGAGGATGACAAGCTTAATGTGAGGCGAAAAGAAAAAAAAAAAAAAAAAAAAACAAAACCACCTGCCCTACAATGATCTTCTTGATCTTTGAAAACTCTCAAGAGAGGGTTCGCTTGGAGTGGCAATTCACTTGAGAAGCTGACTAGCACAGCGGCTCCCAAAAAAGCTACCAATATAGCCTCTTTTGAGCTTCCAAAAATGGTTAATGTAACCAGAGGAACAACACTTGTCTATTGCAAGTGCAAACTATCCACGAAACTTGCCAATGATTATTGGTAGAACCGTGATTTCATCAATTGAGCCAGAATATGTTGTAGCATCTATTCAGAATTCTTTCCTCAACGTAAATAAAATCAATGTGTACTACAAACGTATAGAAATACAAAATAACGTGCTTCTAAGCAATTTTTTAAACAGCAATAAAACCAGCTACTAAAGCCAAGAACCCAACAACACTGGTGACAGAAGTGGTGGCATCAATAGCAACACCGCCATTACCTTTTGATCCGGAAGCAGTCGACGAGCTTGACGAAGAGCTGCTAGATTGTTGAGCTGACGAAGTGGTGGCGGCAGAAGAAGCAGAATGGGTTGAAGCGCCAATTGTGCTGGTGTAGTTACCCGAGTCGTCGACGTTGTCATTGCTATTACAGCTTCCCTGTACATAAGCATCAAATCCATGCCCAGTTGGCTCTGCTAATCCCTTGACATATTTGATAGCTCCACCTGGAGTGTCTGGTATATCCTCAGTTACATTCCAAGTTGACGATTTGGATGGACAGTTGTTACCACCAGTGGATTTCAAATACCCACCATCACCACTTGGATCTTGAGTCTTGTTGAATTCATTCTTCAAGTTTTCAAAGTCTTGATTGGTGGAGACACTATCCCCGTCCAATTTCACCAATCCATATTCATTGTCTTCTTCTGAGTATTCATAAACCAACCCACCGGAAAACACACTGGACATGTCGGTAGAGTAAATGCTTTCAATTTCACTGAAAGGTCTTGGTTTCTTTGCATTACATCCAAACTCTGAAAAGAAGAGAGGGATGGTGAAGTTTTTGAAATCCTTCAATTCTTGGGAATATTGTGACGTGGTCATACTAGCATCACCACACCAGGAGTAGTCGTTTATTCCGTACATGTCAATTCTCGCCATATCGTCGTCACCACAGTTGAAATATAAACCAGAACTCAATCTGTATTCATCCACACTGGCAGCTGAATATCCAACGGGAATGGATCTAAAGCCTCTGTTTTTGATGAAAGTTTTCAAGTCTCTGACCACAGCCTTAACATAAGGTGCCGCTTCCAAAGAAGGTCCATCATTGATAACTTCGTTACCAGCAAAGAATCCCAAGGTGTTGTTGTATTGAGCAAAGAGTTGAGCTGAAGCGAAAACCTCTTGCAAGTAATCTGAGTTGTATGAGCATTTGGCGTTGGACCTAGTAATGGAAGAATGTGGAGTGTTCACATCCAATATGACATAAATACCTGCTTGTGCCAATTTGTCCATACATTCGTCGTGGTCTTTGGTGTTGTCAACAGAGTAAATACGAACTGTATTGATACCCAACTCTTGAAAATATGGGATATCACGCTCACAAACATTGGTGTCAGCTAATGGATCTTCCAACTCAGATGACCCCCCTGGTTGATAGTCAACTCCTCTGATGTAGAAACGTTCACCAGTTTCAGAATTCCAAAACGCGTTACCCTTTACCTCAATAGCAGGAATAGCCGCAACGATGGTTGATGCAAGTGAAAGATAAGTAATTAACGATTTGAATAACATTGAGTTGACTTTTGTAAAGCGAGTGTAGGAATGAAGGAGGGAAGTCAAGTGTGTGTTGTGAAAGAAGTGAAAAGTATCTTTGGATTGGAAAATGTTTTGATTTTGATTTGGCGTTTGCGAGCTCTTTCTTTTTTTTTTCTTTTTTTTTTTCTTTTTGGTGTTTAGAAAGTGGAGAGATGAATGCTTCTTTGGTGGTACAAAAACTAGAGTTTATAGAAGACAATAGAGAAGTTGAACTTGTTCGAGGAGAGATGAGAAAACTAGTTCCAGACAAGTTGCGTATTGTACAGCTACATTAGTCTCAAGTGTTCCGAGAGAAGGTGAGATATGGACTTAGAAAGAATATCGTGGTTCCAGTGACGTTTAATGAAACCCATTTACCATGACAGCACTTTTGACTGACAGGTATTATAAAGAAGAAGAGTTTTGCGTACGTATCACCATGTGAGATTCCTAAGAAAAATAATCAAAAGGGTCTTGTCTCCTTTTTAATCTATCTTGACTCCTTGCTCCAGTGATCCATAAATATTGGTGTGTGATATGCGTGTGAAGACACCTCCACTTTGACCATTCGTAAGCCACTGGTCGTCTTTCCTTCGTACTTCGTAATTCTATCAAACGAAAAACGAGCAAGAGAACAAACCTTTCTATTGATTGAACAATAGGCGCCAATTGTGAAGAATAGTAACAATGTAAACAAAAATTGCATACAAAAACGCGATTATTTTGTAGCACAAAACACAAACACAAACAACAGCAGCAACAGCAGCAACAGCAGCAACAACAGCAAACATCGGAGAAGACCTACATGGATCGATTGGAAATACTACACAACACCAATAGCTTGAAACCAAAAAATACGAGAAAGAAAAAGAAATTTGTGTACACAAAAAGGGGGACAATTTAAACAATAGGAGGTTCAGAGGTGGAGTGATAAAGAAAGTGTAAGTGTATCTGCTCAATGTTGATGAATATCAAAAACCAAGAGCTTTTGGACAGTTTGCATACACCTTTGATGTGGTATATACACTTGTTAGTACCTTGGGTTGTCGCCAATAGTAAAAACACGTCATAGATCAATTTAATGAAAACAGTAATGATTTATACTACACCCGCTTCTTTTTCTGAGCCACTTGTATTTGACAGGTATTCAGAAGATGTATTTTGTGAAGCAACTTTTCTGCCAGAATGACAACAAGGGTCTTTTCTTTTCTTTCCTTTTCTTTTTTGTTTTTGTCCCGCCCCCACCCTGAATCACTGCATATTTGTCTTAATTGTACAATTGTATCCTCAGATAGGTTGTACGTGTCTCACAGAGGCACATTCAATTCTTGAAATGCAAGTATGTTGGTAGCAACGCAAAAACAAGGCAGCACTTAAAAATATGCTTAGTAGGAGTAACGGCATTTCAATAGATGCAGAACACATACATCATTACGAACCTGAATTGATTTCGCAATACACTCCAACATTTTGTGCCGTCAATCGTTGAATATTTTGCGTCAATTTCGCAGAAAACTTTCAAATTGCAAAAACTTAAATACACAATACAGCCAAACGACTTCTGTTGTTGTCAAAGAAAGGATAATGTCCTAAATATTAGCTTGATAGATATTTGTTCGCAATTACTACCATCGGGCTCTTAACATATACGTATCTACTCTACATTCCATGGGGTATACATAACAAAGTAAGTAAGTAGCCCCGCTGGCCATAGGTTCTGTCAGTTCATTTGTTCCTTATTCCACTTCAACTTATTCACTACTTCTTTTCATAAGAAGTGGCTACAGCAAACTACTCCTCATATATAATGATCATACTGCAGACCGTTACTATCAGTCCTTGGTTACTTTCACCTATTGCAATTAAGGATGCGCTACCAAACCAGTTTTGATCTCTCGCGTTGCGGTGTTGGCAATTTTTTTTTTTTTCTTTCTTTCTTTCTTTCTTCCTTCGACAACAACAACAACAACAACAAATCAGAACAACATCGACAGCGCATCCTGTATTATACCACTAGCTCCACCCTCCACCCTCCCCTCCCTCAATTATGGCCTCACAGATACATTTCCTAGACATCAAGGGCAAACCGTTGCTATCCCGTGATTACAAAGGCGACATCCCCACAAACACAATTGAGAAATTCCCCCTTTTATTATTAGAGTTGGAAAATACCATTGATGATGGGGATTACAAACCATTCATCAACCACCAAGGAATCAACTACATCTTCATCAACCACAACAACTTGTACATTTGCGCATTAACGAGAAAGAATGAAAACATCATGACCATTGTCATTTTCCTATCGAAATTGGTTGAAGTTTTGACTCAGTATTTCAAGTCGTTGGAAGAAGAGAGTATAAGAGACAACTTTGTTATAATATATGAACTTCTTGATGAAATGATGGATTTTGGTATTCCGCAAACTACCGATACAAAGATTTTAAAAGAATACATCACACAAGATTACTATTCTTTGATCAAAACTACACCTTCACATTTGGTTGCGCCACCTAATGCCGTGACCAATGCCGTTAGTTGGAGAAAAGATGGGATCAGTTACAAAAAGAATGAAGCGTTTTTGGATGTTGTTGAAAGTATCAACATGTTGATCTCGCCCCAGGGTAAGGTTCTCAACAGTGAGATTCTTGGAGAAATCAAAATCAAAAGTCACTTAAGCGGAATGCCCGATTTACGTTTAGGGCTCAACGACAAGGGACTTTTCACAAGCACTGATGACTCCTCCTCCACTACCGAGGGCAAAAACGTGGAAATGGAAGATATCAAATTCCACCAATGTGTACGATTATCCAAATTTGAAACTGAAAAAATCATTACATTTATCCCACCAGATGGCGAATTCACTCTAATGTCGTACCGTTTGTCATCGGCCCAATTCTTGACAAAGCCATTGATGTTGGTGCAGTGCAAGACGAAAGTCCACAAACATTCCCGAATTGAAATCAATTGTACAATAAAAGCACAGATCAAAAAGAAATCTACAGCTAACAACGTTGAAGTAATCATACCCATTCCCGATGACGCAGATACCCCAAAGACAGAGTCCGAATACGGCTCAATCAAATGGATACCGGAAAAATCATGTCTTGTTTGGAAATTAAAAACTTTCCCCGGTGGTAAAACATTTTCCATGAGAGCAGAATTGGGATTGCCAGCAGTCACTGACCCCGAGTCTGTCTTGAGCAAAAAGCCAATCAAGGTGAATTTCTCCATCCCCTATTTCACCACGAGTGGAATCCAAGTGAGGTATTTAAGAATCAATGAACCAAAGCTACAATACCAATCATATCCTTGGGTCAGATACATTACAAAATCAGGAGAGGACTACATAGTAAGAACAAGATGATGAAGGCCAATAAAACAAATAAAAAAAAAAAAAAAACAAAATAAAAAAAAAAAATCATAATCAATATTAATCCTTTCTTGGATAATGCATATACTTACTGGAATTAAAATGGTGTCTTTCATATAGACAATAAATAAATGAACTCCCCCGTCCTCTTTTCCTTAAATATCAGTAACACATCCCTTGGAAGCATCACTAACCAATTTAGCATACTTGAATAAAGTTCCCCTCTTGTACTTTGGTTCAGGTGGAGTCCAGTTCTCCCTTCTCTTGGCCAACTCTTCTTTCGAAACCAATAAGTCAATGATGTTGTTTTCAGCATCAATGACAATCTCGTCACCATCTTCAACAAGACCAATTGGTCCACCTTCAGCGGCTTCTGGAACAACGTGTCCAATCAAGAACCCATGCGATCCACCAGAAAATCTACCATCAGTGATCAAAGCTACATCTTGTCCTAACCCGTAACCCATCAAAGCACTGGAAGGTTTCAACATTTCTGGCATACCGGGACCACCTTTAGGTCCTTCGTATCTAATAACACAAACAGTTTTTTCTCCCTTTTTGATCTCACCTGCTTCCAAAGCAGTGATGAATGCATGCTCTTCATCAAAAACTCTGGCCTTACCCTTGAAATAAGTTCCCTCTTTACCAGTGATCTTAGCAACAGCCGAACCTGGTGCCAAGGTTCCTTTCAAGATTTGTAAATGTCCATTAGGCTTCAATGGCTTGGAAAGAGGGTGAATGATGTCTTGATCCTTTGGCAATCCTGGTAAATCTTTCAAGTTCTCAGCAATGGTCTTTCCGGTAACAGTCAATTGAGATCCATCAAGCAACCCTTCCTCAACCAAATACTTCATAACTGCTGGAGTACCTCCTCTAGCTTGCAAGTCAGCCATAACATATTTACCAGATGGCTTAAAGTCAGCAAGCAATGGAGTCGAGTCACTGATTCTTTGGAAGTCGTCAACAGAAAGGTCAATATCAAACGAAGATGCAATGGCAATCAAATGCAAAACAGCATTGGTGGAGCCACCAGTAACAATGATGTAAGTGATGGCATTTTCAAACGATTTCTTCGTGATGATGTCCCTTGGCTTCAAATCCTTGTTCAACAAATTCTTTATAGCGTCACCAACTGAAGCACACTCATGAGCTTTTTCCTTTGAAACAGCTGGTGATGACGACGAGTAAGGTAAAGTCAATCCCATGACTTCAGCAGCCGAGGCCATAGTGTTGGCCGTGTACATACCACCACAAGCACCAGGTCCAGGGCACGCATGCCTAACAACATCTTGCTTTTCCTCCAAGGTAATTTGCTTTGACAAGTATTGTCCATAACTTTGGAAAGCACTAATGATATCAATCTTGTCAGCAATGGCCGGGTTGCTTTTGCTGGCACCACAAGTGGGCGATCCAGGCAAAATAGTACCACCATATACCATAATCGATGGTCTATTGTGTCTTCCCATTGCCATCATGACACCCGGCATGTTTTTATCACAACTTGGGATGGCAATATTAGCATCGTACAATTGAGCCATAGTCATTGTCTCGAACGAGTCAGCAATAATTTCTCTTGACTGCAATGAATACTTCATTCCTTCGGTACCATTAGTAATACCATCCGACACACCAATGGAGTTGAATTGCATAGCTTTCAACCCAGCCTTATTTATGGAGTCAGCACATGCATTATTCAAATCCATTAAATGCATATTACATGGGTTACCGGACCACCAAACAGACCCAACACCAACTTGGGCCCTGTTGAAATCGTCATCACTGAACCCAGTGGCGTAAAGCATCGCTTGGGATGCACCTTGTGATGGATCGCCAGTGACGATAGATGAATATTTGTTCAATTTCTTTTCGCATCGAGCAGCACTAGAAGAGAGGCTTCGTATGCACCTCTGTGAAGAACACCTGAAACTCATTGTCTTAAATGCACCCTAGAATCTCTTTGAGGTTGAGATGAAATGAGGAGACTTGAAAGAAAGAAGGGGTAGAAAGAAAGAAAGAAAGAAACAGAGGTGAAAAAATATGAGAAGAAAAATTTCGGTTTGAAATCAATTGGAGCGGTTCAGGGCCTTTTGTACGACCAGCCAATAAGCGCTGAAAAATTAGTCATATACGCCAATCTAGACTTGTCTAAGCATAAAGCTCTACAGTTATTTTATTTTTTTTAATACACCCATCTTCTATACGCTATACCTTCTGCTTTATACCATGCATCATTTCCTCTTTGTTTATCAAATGGCCAATCGAATCAACCTCTTCCAACAACTTATCTACATCAAAGCACCAGTCATTGAGCAAGTTGTTGATATGGTTATCACTCACTCGTGGGTCGCTACCCTCAATTCGCTTTGTCTTGTCAAACTTGACTATACCCTTTGGACGGTTGATCTTGGCAACAATCATTCCCTCATTCACCAACTCACTCACATACTTTTCCGACTCATCTGTGGATAACTGCAAAAGATAAGCCAACCTCTCCAATTGGATAATCAGGTAGAACTTGTTGATAACACGCAAATTGTGTTCTATTATTCTCTTTTGTAAGTTTTGGTAGTTCTTTGGGTCCTTGAAAATGAATGATTGCTCAAATTCGTTCTTGTAAATAGATTCAATGTTGGTCCAATGAATCAACTCGTCAGTGGAGAATATTTCCAACAATTTGAAAATCTTTGTCTCAACATTCTTTTTGAAAACAGGGTTCTTTTGTATCTTGTTGATCAAGTCAATCTGGTGGGGGTCTGATGTGGAAAGAATTATGTAGTAAATGGTCTGCACAAGATAATCTTTGTAGTTTGCCGATTCCTGAACCAATGGAATTTCAATCAATAACAACAAGTTCTTGACAATCGATATGTAATCATAGTCAAATGTGTTTATTTCGATCAAATACTTCAAATAAGTTGTCTTGAACTCATCCGCCTTGTCAAACCCTTTCAACGTCTTCAACAAAATCTTTCTGCTCAATATTTTTGCCTGATTGTAGTCACCTTTTTGCAATGTTAATCTGATCTGCTCTAAAATGTACTCAATTTTGTCACTAAAAGGCATCAACGAATACGTCTCCACTTGCAAATCACACAAGATCTCCACTGCCTTGTCCAAGTCGTGCTTCTTGTTCAAGTAAATTTCAGCCAATTGTTTGGACACAATCGCCCTCTCAACTTCAACAAAAATCTTCTTGTCTGTTACTGTTCTTATCGTGTCAATGATCTTCATCTTTGTTTCCAACTCTTTTTCCTTTGACTCGTCCAATTTCGACAAATTGGCAATCACATCTTGAATAAATGCCTGGATGGACGATTTCAACTGGCCATGCTTTTTGGACAAAATAACAATCAAATCGTTCAAGTAGTCCCAGTCATTATTATACACCAAAGTAGACACAATCTTGTTCAAAACTCTCTTTGATGAAGCCAAATCGGACGATTGACGAGTTTGCTTCTCCAAAACCAAGTACTTGTCCAATTGTTGTTTGTAATCAGGTATCTTTTCAATAAGCGGGAACTGCTCATCCAACGTAGCAGAAAAATCCTTCTCCGCCTTGATAGGGTCTTCTCTGGACATGATATGGGCGAATAAAATGTATATAGGGTGATACTTTCGGTGGCAAGAAAAGAAGCCCAAAAAGAAAAAAAAAAAAAAAAAAGACAAAAAAAGGTTAAACTCTGCAACTTTTTTTGGTCGTGCGGTTTTCACACATTTGCAACACAGACCATCACCCACAAATGACAAGTGCCATCACCGATACAGATAAGCTACGACTGGATATCATAAGACAACACTTGAATCTACATGATGAAGAAAGTATAAACTTGACTTTGAGCTTTCTAGCAGAATTGCACAAGAAATCACCTTCCTCATTTGAAGCATTCCAAAAGACAGTTCAACAAAATGGAGGAGAAGACTTTGATACAGCCTTTTTAAGAGAGGTCTTTGACTCGTTTGGAAAGGACAAGCTCGGAGACAATCTAGACAACGAAGATGAACTTTGTGGTAGGATATTTGAAGGGACGGTTGCATCCATTCGCCCATACGGAGCTTTCATCAGATTCAACAACACATCAGGACTCTGCCATATCTCTCAAGTTTCCTATGATGGATCTAGAACGTCACGTATGGATCTACATCCTAATCAAAAAGTATTTGTCAAAGTCATCGACCAAGAGAACAAGGATCCGAGGAAAATTTCACTTTCGATGAGAGGAATCAATCAAGAGACAGGCATTGAGGAGAGGGAAAGGATTGAGAGAGATCACCAGAGGATGCCGGCAGAAGAATCTAGAACCACCTCCTACCCCGACTTTAATCACGAACTTGAAATCGAGACCGAGATTGAGCTTAATGATGCTAGGCCCTCTTTTCTCCAAAACCAAGGGTACAAAGAAACAGCTTCATCCATCAATACAATTTTGAGTATGGATGGCGCAATGAGTAAAGCTGCTGAAAATGGATCTGATTTTGCTCGAAAGTTTAGAGAGGACAAACTACAGAAAGAAAAGGAAAAGAATAAAGCGAGTCATGAGCAAAACGACCCTTTATCAGAGCAGAAAAAGACTGAAGAGGTTGTGTCGGAATGGAAAAAATCCCAAAAGCGTCTGTTTTATCAATCCACGAAACTCAGCATTGAAGAGCAGAAAAAGTCGCTACCTGTATATGATATGCGTGCTGATCTAATCCAAACGGTTAAAGATAACCAATTTATTGTTATTGTTGGAGAGACTGGGTCGGGTAAGACCACTCAAATTGTGCAGTACATATACGAAGAAGGGATAAATGTAATCAACGGGGATTCGAAGGTTATTGGATGTACCCAGCCGAGACGTGTGGCAGCTACATCCGTGGCAAAGAGAGTGTCTGAGGAAGTTGGCTGCGAGCTTGGTGATGAAGTAGGATACAATGTTCGATTTGATGATAAAACCACACCAAAGACAAAGATCAAGTATATGACTGATGGTATGTTGGAAAGAGAGGCACTCACGGACCCTGAAATGAGCAAATATGCGGTCATAATGTTGGATGAGGCACATGAGAGGACAATTGCCACCGATGTGCTATTCGCTTTGCTAAAGAAGGCGGCATTGGCAAACCCAAACTTGAAAATAATTGTCACATCAGCCACTTTGGATTCTGACAAGTTCTCCAAGTTTTTCAACAACTGTCCGATTTTGAATATTCCTGGTAGAACATACCCTGTGGAGGTGCTATACACAAAGGAGCCCGAGATGGATTATTTGCCGGCTGCTTTAGATACAGTCATGCAAATACACATTTCGGAACCCAGCGGAGACATCTTGGTGTTCCTCACAGGACAGGAAGAGATTGACACCAGTTGCGAAGTGCTAGCTGAACGGGTAAAAGTGTTGGGAGACTCAGCTCCAGAGCTCATAATTTTACCCGTGTACTCTGCTTTGCCAGCAGAGGCACAAGCCAGAATCTTTGAACCCACGCCTCCTGGATCGCGAAAGGTTGTATTGGCAACAAACATTGCTGAAACATCCATCACCATTGACGGCATCTACTACGTTGTTGATCCCGGGTATGTCAAGTTGAACGCATATGACCCGAAGCTGGGTATGGATACGTTGAAGGTATCTCCCATCAGCAAGGCGCAAGCCAATCAAAGAAGCGGAAGAGCAGGTAGAACTGGACCGGGAAAGTGTTATCGGTTGTACACTGAACAGTCTTATGCCACCGAAATGCTTCCAAACTCTATTCCCGAAATACAAAGACAAAATTTGTCCCACACAATTTTAATGTTGAAAGCTATTGGGATCACCGATGTTGTCAACTTTGAGTTTATGGATCCTCCTTCTAAAAACTCCATGATGACTTCTTTGGAAGATCTTTATATGTTGGAGGCGTTGGATGATGATGGTGAACTTACTCAATTGGGAAGGAAAATGGCTGATTTCCCAATGGAGCCTGCACTTGCCAAAACACTCATCAAGTCGGTTGACTTACGTTGCACAGAAGAAATTCTAACAATTGTTGCTATGTTGTCGGTGCAAAGTATCTTTCATCGACCAAAGGACAAGCAACAAATAGCAGACCAGCGAAAGGCAAGATTCCACTCTACCAAAGGTGACCACTTGACTTTGCTCAATGTGTATAACCGTTGGTGCGCCAATAAGTACAGCAAAGATTGGTGTCGAGATAATTTCATCCAAGACAGAAGTATGCGACACGCGAGAGAGGTGAGGAGGCAATTACAGACAATCATGACCAAACACAAGTATGCAATCGACTCATGTGGCAATGATTTGGACGCAATCCGAAAATGTCTTTGCTGCGGCTACTTCAAAAACGTAGCGAAGCGTGATTCCGGCGAGGGTTACAAGACTTTGTCAAAGAATGAACTGGTCTATCTACACCCATCCTCAAGTCAGTTTGGAAAGAGTCCAGAGTACGTACTATACCATGCAATAGTGATGACCTCGCGTGAGTACATGCACAATGTCTCTGTTATTGACCCTGAATGGCTTTGCGAATATGCGCCAAAGTATTTCAAACTAGCTGACCCGCATAGTCAAGCCAAGAAGAAACAAAAGATTGTCCCATTGACATCATTTGGAAACCGGAATCAGAAAAAACTGTCACGATGGAGACCAGGTAAGAAGAAGTAAAGCGGTTGAGCACGCGGAGAAAATGGGCCGGACATAAGGACCTTTGTGCCCCGCAATACAATAAACGCTAGCAGATATGTAGAAGTAATTTTAGTAGCGATATGATCTACAGTATCTCTCATTGCTATATGCGTAATGTCACGTCTTTGCAAGTCCTGTAATTCCCCTCCTTTTGCATGGAGTTTACACCCCTTTGTGATGATATTGCGCTTTTTGCTGTTCCCTTTCTTTTGCAAGTGCTGAGAAACAAAACAAAAATAATAAAAAAAGTGGAGAGATCTCTCGCAACATAAAAACAGAAATAAAATAAAAAAAGAAAAACACCCTTTGCTTTATTTTCTTTTTCCACCTGTCAAAACTTTATCAAAGAGAGAGAGAGATTTTCAGGCTTTACTTTTACAGCAACATCCTTTTCATTACACGTCAACACACACCTACAGCGAATTGCATTAGACAACTCAAACCTTTACACAAATTCCCCTTGCTCCTCCCCATACAATGTTCATCCAGGATGCTCTAAACTCGGCGAGGTACGCACAAGATGCCGTGAGTGAAAAAGTTCGATTGTACCTGGCGACATCAAGTATATCTCCAGTCGGCGTTAAGCCTCTTCGAAGGAGCTATTCCATATCCGACCCTATTCCTGACACCGAAAACACCGGAACTTCGGTACTTGAATGTGTGCCCTTGGAGACAGACAAGAATGGGAATTTCTTCGACCCTTCGACTGGACGAATAGTGGTTCTTAAAGGCATTAATGTGGATGCGCAGATGAAGTTACCAGTGGAACCATACATGCCATCATATAAAGGAGACCCAACAAATCCGAACGACATTTTCTTCGAAGGAGACACTGTATCATTTGTAGGGAGACCATTCCCCTTGGAAGAGGCACGATCGCACTTTGAAAGAATCAAGAGCTGGGGTTACAACACAATACGGTACTTGTTAACTTGGGAAGCAGTTGAACATGAGGGTCCAGGGAAATATGATGAGAAATTTGCCGACTACACTTTGGAAATGTTGAAGATTATTGGAGAGGTGGGTGGTTTGTATGTTTTCCTCGAGTTTCATCAAGATGTTTGGTCGAGGTATTCAGGCGGTAGTGGCGCACCTATGTGGACATTTTATGCTGCTGGACTTGATCCTAAGAAATTCACCCTTGCTGATTCGGCCATACTCCATAATGAGCCTAGGTTTTGCGATGGCAGTGACGTGTACCACAAAATGTTGTGGACGTCAAACTACAAACGCTTGGCCCCTTTAGTGATGTTTACGATGTTTTTTGCTGGCAAGCACTACTTTCCAAACTTGATAATGAATGGAGAGAATATACAAGACTTTTTGCAAAATCATTTCTTGGGATCAGTTGAATTCATATGGAAACGAGTTTGTGAAGGTGTACCTCATTTACTTGATAACGGAACGATTTTAGGCTTTGAGTCAATGAATGAGCCAAACTGTGGCTTGATAGGGTATCCGAATATTGGCCAATTGCCAGACTTTCAACAGCTACGTGTAGGCACTACACCCACAGCATTTCAATCAATGAGGCTTGGTATGGGGTTTGCGTGCGAGGTTGACGAGTATAGGATAACGGTTACTGGGCCGAGAAAGTATGGCACAAAGATTGTTGACCCAAAAGGTGCCAAGGCATGGCTAACCGCGCAAGATGCCGCAGCTATTGATGCACGTTATGGATTCAAGAGAGGTAAAGAGTGGGAGTTGGGGACTTGTATATTTGCCGCACAAGGAATTTGGAGCTGGCCACAAGTTGTCGGAGAAATGGAAGCAATGTCACAAGAGCAGAGACTTGATGTCAGTTCAAAATGTAAAATCTTGGAGCCTCATTATTTCAGCAAGTCGATGCCTCAACATAATTACGAACTGCACATATCTACAGTGGACACTCACACGTTCGTTAATGCCCATTTTAGTGACCACATTGTCAAGTTCAAGAAGCTAATTCGTCAATACAGACCAGACGCGTTTGTGATGCTTCTGACACCAGTTTTGGAGGAACCTCCACATTTGAAAGATGACAAGCGAGGCATCATTGATGACAAGGTGATCTACTGTCCACATTACTATGACGGTTTATCATTAATGCACAAGAGTTGGAATTTCAAATTCAATGTTGACACATTGGGCATTATGCGAGGAGCATATTTGAACCCGGTGCTTGGTATTGTGTTTGGAGGAAGGGCGATTCGCAATTGTTTTCAAAAACAGTTTTGTGAAATGAGGCGGGAGTGCAACGAGCACTTGGGGAAAATACCCATACTCATGTCAGAAACAGGAATGCCATTTGATATGGACGAAAAACGGTCTTACAGAAACGGTAAGTATATTTCACAAACAGCTGCGATGGACGCCTTGTGCAGTGCATTGGAGAGCGCCAACATGTCACACACATTCTGGTGTTATGATAGTTGCAACAATCATAAATATGGGGATAACTGGAACAACGAGGATTTCTCCTTTTGGTCTCCCGACGATCGCAATTTGACATTTGATGATGAATGCGAGACGCCTGAAATTAGAAACGAGACTGAAAGTGCTGGTCGAGCTAGAACAGCTAAAGCGATTAGAAAAGCAAATAGGAAATTAAAGAGAGCAGCCAAAATGGGCCGCTCTGGCTCGGTTGACAGTACCACGTCAACCACATCAACCACGTCAACATCGTCAAGTGATGGCTACACTGACATGGAGTCTAGTTCGACCTCACTGTCGTCGTCTGTGATTTCATCCACAAGCTCAAATGTGTATCGCCGACAATATGGAAAATGTTATCCTTCTCCAGATGGAGTCAGAGCACCCGGTGCGGTGATAAGACCATATTTGATGGCATCGTTGGGCAGAATCGTTGCGACAGAATTTGACATAAAATCGGTAAAGTTGTCACTTCAGATTATCGTCGATAAGTCGGATCCTAGAGTTGAGAATACTCCTACAATCATATTCGTGCCAAAGTGGCATTTCCCATTTTTGGACTATGGAGATGTTTTCTTGACTTCGGGCTACATTAAATACAACGAGGAGTTGCAGTACATTGAATGGTACCATTGTAACGATCCATCACTCAAGGAGGGTGGTGCAACATCAAGCGAAAAGGAGACTTCAAAGATGAGCACGGAAACCATCATTATAAAAAACAATAGCGGCTCTTTAGAGGACGCCAAGACAATAGAGGATAAGAAATTAGGATGTGCAATTACTTAGAAGTTTGTTTATTTAGACTAGAATTCATAAGGATCAGAGTCCAACTCTCTCTTGCCATTCTTTGCTTCTGATTTCACCAAATTGCTCACGTGTTTTTTGAATAAATCGACATAGGGCTTGAGACTAGTTTTATCCCACGCTGGAACAGACGCATCGTCATTCTCCCCACTTTGCTCATGCTCATCGAGCTGTGTAAGCAACTGCTTCAAGTTTGGGGCTGTTGTAGGATTGAACCCGTATGTGTCATCCAGAGCATCTCCCGAGATATTCTTTTTTGGATCGAATGGCACACAAACATTTCCTGTACCTGGGTGTACACAAAATGGAGACTTTAACAAGTGAATGATCTGCCTGGACACTTCGATATCCAATCTTGGATAAAGATAGTAGATGATAATTTCCTTCTTGGCATCTTGTAAAGTTGCAACTTGATTATTGGACTTGAACACTTTTGATGCAACTGTATTCAAATCCTCCCATTTATCCTTTGAGGTTGAACCGTTTCGTTCGCCTTGCCATTTCTTCTTCAACTCTGCTTGTAACTCCTTATTTGATATAAAACTTAAAAGTTCCTCCACCTGTTTCCAACTTTTTGAATCCGTTTCCGTGTTTGGATCGGTATACCATGGATCCTGATCCTCTAGTATAATTTCAATAAATCTTTTCTTCAAAATCTCAAAGCTTCGTTCAATGTGAGGGTGAAATGGCTTTCTAACGTGGAAACCTTTGGTGCCTTTTGCATGTTTCCCTCCCAATACATCAAGATACTCCACAATGGACCTTCTACTATTCTCATCCAACTCCCTTGCTCTCTTGTCACTGATCCAGCAATGCGCACCTCTACGCCCAGAAAACACCCACACCATCAGCTCGAATCCAAAATCCTGTCTCAAACACTCTTCGATTATTGTTGATCCAACTTGAATAAACTTCCAACACTTGCAACAAATATCTGTCCCTTGGCAGCAGGTTCTAATTTCGTCATAATCGGTCAAGTCGATATCAAACACCAACTCTTTGCTCACTGGTTTTAAAGCTTGCTTGGGTAGGTTGTATCTCTCCTTGGGCGCTACTTTATAAACTGCACCAATTTCAAAACGCGTGGGATTGGCGGTAATGACAGCCTTTTTGAACTCATCTACGTTACTGTAGGAGTTGTAACGTTTGTACGCAGTACTTCTATACTCATAAGCAAACTCTCTCATAGTAAAATCCTTTGTTGGTTTTGGTGAATGGTTCAACCACATGAATATATACTTGAATGGTAGCAAACGTTGGTAGTAAGTTTCCATATCCACCTCACTGGGGGTGGCGACTGAGTGTTTGACTTCATTGCCGGAGGCATTTGGAAGCGAACAATTTGAAGCCGCTGGTGCTGGAGCCATTCTGATTGTAATTGATAATCGCAGAAGCAATAGCCAAACAGTGCAGAGATGTTGGGAATAAAATAAAATACAAAAAAAAAAAAGAAAAATTAACAAGTCGCATACAGATATAGACGCGTATTAGTTGCACAAAAAAAAAACAAGAGGTCTTCTACACACCAGCACTGAGAATGATGGTGTTTCTCTGATTTACAGTCTTGGCAAGTATAGCTTCCAAAGTGTATAATATCTACTCAGTTACAAACAACAAAGAAACACCCTCATCGCCAGCAGTCGCCACTTTTCTACCGTTTTCCAAGATTGCAAAATCCAAAATACCCATGTTATGACCAACTCCTACAAACAACTCTTCACCTGTACGTGCATCCCACTTGTAAATTTTACCATTCATCGAAGAGCCGATCAAGTACGGAGTGTCGTTGATAAACTCTAACTTGGTGATTGCATCATCAACTTTTAGATTCTTTCTCAACCGCCATTGCTGCGTATCAAACAACAACACATCACCCGAGACAAGTCCAACTGCCAACAAGTTGACGGTTTTGTTCTTGCACCAGCACAATGCTTCAATTGATAATTCGGCAACATCCTCGACATTGTCTAAAGTTTTTACCGACGTTAATATTTTGCCCGTATCATTGTTGATAATTGAAAGTTGGCCATCTCTTCCTCCAATTGCAATCACATGACCATGGTGTTTGATTGTTACCCAAGGACTTTCGACCCCTTTGAAATCATCGTGTGGTTGCAATTTGTAGTTGACCGCACCAGTAAAACAATTCCAATTCACAACTGTTCCATCTTCAGATATAGACACCAAGGTCAACTCGTTTTCGTCTTTACCGGGGATGAAGACAGCTCCATTACATTCCAAGGTATGACTGAAACCAGACATTATCTGCACCAACAGCTTACTCTCCTCGTCAATTTGATACACCCATACAGAGCCCTCGTTTGCTCCAAAGGCAAAGTAGTTTAGTTCGGGATGCACAGTGACAAACAATACCTCGGAAACTTCGTTTAATTCACCAAATTTGGTCCATTTTTCGCCACCTTTACTAGCCTTGAATACTTGTAACAACCCATCCATATCTGCAGTTATTAGATATTTCCCGTCATTCGTAAACCCACCTGATATAACACTTTCACCATGTCCCTGTATCTCCCCAACAAATTTTGGAGGTTGAGAGTGTGTAGTCCAAAGGTATGCAACATTGTCTCCTCCACCAGTTACAACCATAGGCAACTTAGGATGTGAAAAAATAGTAAAGACACTGTCTTGGTGTTTATCAAAGTAGAACCAAGAGTTATTGGACATGTCAATTTCCAACGTCTCATGTTCATGGTCGCCTTCATCGTTGTACCCCGTTGTATCTATTTCCTCTTCTTCCTCATCATCGTCATCATCTGGTTGAATGTCTCCTTCATCTTCGTCGTAGACTTCTTCACCAACCTCATTCACATCAATGAATTCCTCCTGGTTGGATTGGTCTTCATGACCTTGTGTATTGTCTGACCCGTTGTGGTGTTCCTGTGCTGACATTATCGGTTAACCTATACAGTGGTGTCAAGAGTTGTCTCAATTACTAATTGAACTTTTTTTTTTGGTGAAGAGAGAGAGAGAAAGAGAGAGAGATGAGTTGAGTTGACACAAAACACCGCCATCATTTTTGCCGTTTTCTCTTAATGGGTCAGCTTCAAGGAGATTCTTCAGGGAACAGAGGAAATTGCAACAGAATGCGGTGATTGCATTGATATAAGGGAAAGAATAAAGCTGTCATAGATGTCTGCGATGTACAATTGAGTTAGAGTTAGCACTGAGAAAGTCTTGCAAAGTGCAAGGTGGCTTAACTTAGAGGGCATGTGCTAGCACATACTGCCAATTACACTAAGAGGTGTCTCCACCGCCTCTTGCAATCTACGCAGTCCCACTCCCAGTAGGTTTCTTTCACCATCTTCAAGTAATTGCTGCATTCAATGATGATTAGGCAATAAATATGGTAGCGCACACACCTCACTTCACAATAAACAGACAAAAAAAGAGAGAAGAAAATTTTGAAATACGCTGTTACTTTCATCATTCAAATATCCGATATCCGTTCAACTACTGCAGTGTATTGCCAATCAACTGCACATAGAACCTGAAACAACAACGCACAGCACAGAATAGCATAGCACAGCATCATTCGTTTTCTCCTACATCAAACACTTCTAGCAATTTATCATATCTTAAAAGTGTGGTAATTTCCCTTTCTTTGCATACGCATCATAATATACAGCGTCTTCATATAAGTATTCACCAGCACCAGCACCAGCACCACTAGCATGTCTGATTGGGTCTCTACATTTCCTGGTGTCAAGCAGGCTCTAACTTCAGGAAAAAAGTTTTTCGGCAGAGTAATACAAACTGGACCAGTTCCTAAACATGTTGGGCTCATAATGGATGGAAATAGAAGATACGCTCGAAATCACAAGATAGAAATCAAGGAAGGACACAGTTTGGGATTCAATACAATGGCCAGTATTCTAGAGTTACTTTACGAATGTGGTGTCGAAGTAGCAACAGTTTATGCCTTTTCAATTGAGAATTTCAATAGGACAAGTTATGAGATCAAGTGGTTGATGGACTTGGCCAAATCAAAATTCACCCAAATAAATCAACATGGGGCCATTTGTGAGGAGTATGGAGTACGAATAAAGTTGGTTGGTAATTTGAAACTACTACCAGTTGACGTATTGCAGATTTTACATGAAACAGAAGAAATTACTAAAAACAACACAAGGGCAACCTTGAATGTTTGTTTCCCTTACACGTCAAGGGACGAAATGACTCATGCAATCAAGGGCATTGTAAGTGAGAGTGCCAAAGAGCGGATAATCGTCAATGAAGATACGTTAGCACGTCACCTATACACTGGAAGTCAGCCACCGTTGGACCTTTTGGTGAGAACTTCAGGCACATACAGGCTATCAGATTTCTTATTATGGCAGTGTGTGTCTCCGGATTGTTCTATTGTGTTTGTTGACCAATTGTGGCCCGAGTTTAAACCTTGGCACATGTTGAAGATATTGATAAATTGGAGTTTTAACAAGTATTGGTATGGCAATGCAAGTGGGTATGGGTTGAGCCCAAGGGCACTAATACAAGAGAATCATCACGATACGGAACTTTTACAGCTGACTGCACAAGTTGGATTTGAGAGGAGGAGCGAAGCCTCAAATGACTCTGACACCGATGCTAGCAGTCACATGGGAACCGAGGAGGAGACCATGCCATCGGAAGATGATACCGACATAAATACAAAGCTAGCATAATAGACAGTAGATGATACCAACTCTTCACTCTTTTTATGGTACTATTTTCTTATTTTTATATTTCCTCACGTGGGGAGGCGTGGGCGTGCCGTCGGTGTCGCGCGGCATTGACTCATTGACACACAATTTTTTTTTTTTTTTTTCCGTTCAGTTTTGGTGAAAAATTTAAAATTTTGCACCTGCCTAGAGATAACATACACAGACACCCACACAGACACCCACACAGAGGTATACTAATTTCAACTGCACCTCCTCGCTCGATCATGGATTTAGTCAACCACTTAACCGATAGATTACTATTTGCAGTCCCTAAAAAGGGGAGATTGTACGACAAATGTTGCCAGCTCTTAGGTGGTGCTGATATCCAATTCAGAAGATCACCAAGATTGGACATTGCTCTTTCGACAAATTTGCCCATTGCTTTGATCTTTTTGCCGGCTGCAGATATCCCTGTCTTTGTTGGCGAAGGTAATTGTGATTTGGGTATCACTGGAATGGACCAAGTTATGGAGTCAGACCAATTTGATAATATTGAAGACTTGTTAGATTTGAAATTCGGTACTTGTAAACTTCAAGTGCAAGTACCTGAGAAGGGAGAATACAGCACACCGGAGGAACTTGTTGGTAAAAAGATTGTTTCAAGTTTCACCAAATTGGCAACGGACTATTTTGAAAACTTGAAAGGTGAAGCCAAGAGTGATGCCAAAATCAATGTAAGGTATGTCGGTGGCTCTGTTGAAGCATCCTGTGCTTTGGGAGTTGCTGATGCCATTGTTGATTTAGTTGAGAGTGGAGAAACCATGAAAGCAGCAGGATTGAAGGCTATTGGAACGATATTGACCACCTCCGCCCACTTGTTTTCATCAAAGAAACCAAGATACCCAGAACTTGTAAATACTATAAAGGAAAGATTAGAAGGTGTCTTAGCAGCACAAGAGTTTGTGTTGTGCAATTACAATGCTCCAAAATCAATCATGAATGAGTGTTTGAAAATTACACCTGGAAAAAGAGCTGCCACTGTGTCTACGTTGGACAAGCACTCGCCAGAAGAGGAGGATTGGGTTGCTATATCATCCATGGTTTCCAAAAAGAAGATTGGTAATGTCATGGACGACTTGAAGAAAGCTGGTGCTAGTGACATTTTAGTTTTGGATATCTCAAACTGTAGAGTTTAGAATATGATAGATTGAATTTATTCTACTTGCCTTATACCATCCTTGTCAACTACTTTTACATAAACACCCTTGAAATCAATGGGCATCCTCTTTTGCAACTCCTTTATGCACATATCCATCAACCTCAACCCATCATCGACATTCATATCTTTTCTGTAATGCTTATCCAACAACGACATGGCGTAGAACGCAGCATACCCATGTGCCCCATATGGCAACTCCACCTGCGTTCCCAAATAATCAATATAGTTCAACGACGGCTTTTCTGTTTTGGTGTCGTACCCTGCAATTAAGCAATTCACTTGGTATGGTTTACGAGATCTTATCGACGTGGCCAATTGGTTTCTGACAAATGACGCAGTGGCTTTTGGTGACAATTCTACATCATCCTCACGCATTGAGTATAATTGAATATTGGCTTGAACGTATTCGGCAAATTGTATAGTATCACCAGCTTCACCAGTGAATGCAATCAAGTTGTGGGCATTGAGGTGTCTTGTTTTGTCGTCATTATCCTTCAAAATGGATATACCTCTGGTTGCAGCCTTCGAAGTGGCAATCAATGTTGCGTCTGATACTCTTATTCCTAATATGATATCCATGGCGGATGGAGATGAAGATGGAGATGGGGTGGTGGTGGTGGCGTTTAATTGTCGAGCTCGGGGGCAATCTTTCAAGAAATTGGTTCATTTTTTTTTTTTTTTTTTTTTTGTTTCTGTTTTTGCCTCTCGGATTTTTTTTTTTTATAAAAATTGCAAATCCATCAAATTTCTCTATACGTAGGCATTCTACACAATCCTTTACTTGATCAACTGCTTCACCTTCTTTTCAACTATGGAAGTAATCAACGCATTCAATGCACTGTCTTGTTTATCTATTTGTGACTTTAAATTGAGTTCAACTTGCTTTTCAATGAGCTTACCTGTAAGGTCTACTTCAATATTGACCGTGTCGCCCACTTCTTTCTTTGCCAAGATGACTTTTTCCTGACTATAGCTAATCAACATGATTGAGAACTGAGCTTTTGAGTCAGTGACTGAAGTTACAGTCAATGAAGTTCCATCAATAGCAATGAATCCCTTGTGCACAATATAATTGATAAACTCCTTGTCTCTTAGTTCAAAAGTGAATGTAATTGCGTTTCCATCGGGCTTTTTTCCAACGATTGTGGCAATGGTATCAACGTGACCCTGCACAACGTGACCTCCCAACCTAACATCGCTTGTCACTGCTCGTTCTAAGTTCACTCTTGAGCCTTTAGATAGTGAGCCCAAGTTGGTCTTGCGCAAAGTTTCAGGAGCCACTCCTACTTTGAAGTAAGTCTTGGCCGCATCAAAGTCTGTCACAGTCAAGCAAACACCATTGGTTGAGATTGAATCACCAAGATGGACATCTTCTAAAATGGGTGAACAGTCTGTTATGGAGATGGAAACCCCGTTGCCTCCGGAAGAGGAGCTGTCTTGTTTGACGTACTCGGTAACAGTTCCAATAGTTTCAATGAGACCGGTAAACATGGAGATGGGGAACTGTGTTGTGGTTGATGTGGAGTGGTGAAAAAAAAAAAATAGGTAAAAATGTTATTTGACAAGGATGATAAATACTTTGNTGTGAAAAAAAAAAAATAGGTAAAAATGTTATTTGACAAGGATGATAAATACTTTGTGAAAAAAAAAGAAAATTGACAAATTTAACCACTACGTAGACAATTTTGATGAAAAACTTCCAATAATTGGGTAGTAAGAAAGTGCAATGGATACTTGTTGTCAAAGCCTAACTCGTTCCCCTTTGTTCCTCTTTTAACAAAGACTTCGGCTTTCATTCTGATTTGTTGCGGCGATAATGTGCACAAAGAACGAAACTGTCTCCAAAAAAAAAAAAAAGAATAAAAAAAAAAAACTTTTCTTTTCCAACGACCAACAAAACAGTTAGAAGTATTTTATCTCCACTCCAACACCAGACCAGCCACCGCAGCAATGCCGTTTAGATTCCCAGTCAAGTTTGAGATCCCCAAACACACACATATAAACGCTCGTGTTCTCAGGGACCATTTCAAAAGACTACAATTTGCAGAGCATGAAGTTACGAGAAACGCTTTGAAATATATTGCACGCAACGAGGAACTTCCATCAAGGGCTAGGGTCGAAGCACAATTACAATTGGCAAGTATGCCCAAGTATACCTCATACGTGCAAATAAGAGATAGGTGTGTTGCTACTGGAAATTCAAAATCATTAATTCGCGATTTTAAATTGAATAGGACAGCATTTAGAGATAGAGCCAGAGCTGGCCAAATTCCTGGTGTTAAAGTTGCATCCTGGTAGAGAAGGTAAGTGGAAAGGTTTGTATATAGCTGTATTTTAATGAACACTGAACGATTTTGATAACTTCTCAATCTTGTACCATCTCTAACTAATTTGGGGGGATGAAAACAAAAAAAAAAAAAAAAAAAAAGAAAAAGAAAAAAGGACCATTACCTGGAAAAAAACCCTCTTCCAGCTAGACAAATCATCACATACCAAAACAACCCACGATATGTTGCACCCCGTCACTTTCAAAACAAGCAGGTCGATGCTAAGACCAGGAATATTGAACTTTGAAAAAAGATCGCTACGTTTGATGCCCAACTGGTCTAAATTCAAACCAATCGAACAACCAGCGGGTTTTGTTGTTGATACGGTCAACGAAGCATACGTGCCACCAAATCCAAACGCTTATGAGGGATCAAATCACTGGATCTACGACAGATTTGTCACCACAGCAATGCTTCCATTGGTTATGGTACCGTTTGTCGCTGGTGTCGAGTACCCAGTAATCGATGCGACATTTTCCACCTTGGTATTGTTCCACAGCTATGCCGGTTTCAAGAGTTGTATAATAGATTATATACCAAAAAGAGTCTATGGTATATGGTACGGGGCAGCTTGCAAATTGTTGGCTTTTGGCACTTGTGTGGCAATGTACGGTATATACATCTTGGAAACAGCCAACAATGGATTATTTGAGTTGATAAAGAGCATCTGGCTGGTGTAAGCCACGGAACCACAAGCGGGTCGTAGATCTGTACGCATGTATATAGTTACGTAGTTGTTACAGGGATTATTATGAAAAGGAAGCAAAAAATACAACCAGAACACGTCCCACAATTTTGCGGTAAATCTTTGTTTTCTCGTCAACAAAAAAATGCTCGAAATTTTCAACCGTACGTCGTGAAGTCCTCCATTGCTGATCATATGAGCGATTCTGAGTACGACAACGACGCACCAAAGGATGGGCCCAAACCTTATCCTCAATATGCAACACCAGAACCTGTCCCACGGCCACGAAGGATCGATCTTATTGGGTTAGATTTGCCAAGCATTTCTAATCTGGACGATATGAAGGATGACGAAGGGGATGTCAGGTACGAAGTTATCGAAGAACCACAATACCACGTCACCAGGGGTCTATTTATTGGAAACTTGCGCCGCCCTCTCAATGCCAGCCATTTCCAAGACTATTTGCGTAAGTTGGCCAGTGAAAGCAAGGATGTTCACGTGCGTATCGATCGAGCATGGTTGACCAGATTGAGAACGCACGCAATTGTCTTGATAGGTACTGAGGAAGGGGCAGAGTACATGAGAGCCCAGTTGAATGGATCCATATACCCAGATGAGGAAGAGGATGCCAGGTTGAGGGAAGAATTTGAAAATCGAGAAATTGAACGGTTTGAGGAGGAAACTAAGAGATATGAGGAGGACATGGAGAGGGTTGGCGAGGAGGAAAGAGCAAACATGCGCCAACCTACCGAACCAAGAGAATTTGTAACTGACAGAATTCCCTTGTACGTGGAATACATCCCAGTGAAGGCTATAAATCAGTGGACTTTCGAAGAGGATAAAGGACCAAGAAATGGGAAATGGAAATTGGAATATGTCAATCGGAATGATGAGTTAGTTGCCTCCCATACGTTATTGAACGGTGAGTATATCCCTCGGTATGTCCCTCCCAGACGTGGTGGTGGTAGGGGTGGGGGTAGACGATTTGGTGGGCCACCACCAAGAGGTTATGACAGATATCGCGATGGGCCAGACCCGTACCATAGAAGAGGAGGACCTCCCCTTAGAACAGACTCTTACGTCCCCGGCCGCTCTTCTCGATCTGACGAGCCTAGAAGAACCGATTCGTACGTGCCAGGAAGCGCACGTTACAGGTCAAGATCAAGATCAAGGTCGAGATCTCCTACCAGATTTTGAAAACCCAGGTAGAAGGTGATGTTGGGGTGTATAGACTGTGAGTAGGTTGTAAAAGTTTAACGTGGGTATATTGCGTTACTCCTCTCATCAAAGACAAATAAAAGAACAAAAAAAAAAAAAAAAGAAAAGGAAAAGAATGCCAGACAAAAAATTTTCAAAACAGCTGAGTATCACCATAGACCATGTCGTTACTTCGAACATGCCTAAGAACTAGGCTGTTGTTGGTTCCTAGAATACACAGTGCTAGTGTCAGATTGAATAGCACAATCTCCACTCCTCCTTCTGATCCAAAACCCTCCACCCAAAAATCCCTTTTCACAGAAATATATCCAATTGATAAAGACAAGGTCACTGAGCAAGACGTTGACAAGTGGATAGATGCCTTGAAACAATTACGCAAGGGTAAGAAAGTTCACGAGACTCCTGAAGAAATATATCTTGGTCAAATAGTGCAACCGGAACAATTCGTCACAAACAAGTTTGAGCCGACATTGGAACAAATTGAGGAAACTTATACATATTCAAACAAGCAAGTGCCTTTGAAATCAGACCCCACCGTGGAAAACTTTATCAACTTGGTGATGAGACATGGTCGCAAAGCAAGAGCTCAAAAGATTGTCAGTCGTGCTTTCTACATTGTCCAAATGAAGTTGCGTAAAGATCCAATACAAGTGTTGAAAGATACATTGGATAAATTGGGTCCATTGGTAACGACAAAGTCCATATCCACTGGTGTAGCAAAGAGAAGAATCGTCCCAATCCCATTGAATGAAAGACAGAGAAACAGGTTTGCTATAACTTGGATTTTAGAGGCTTCAAAGAATAGAAAATCCAACGACTTTGCAGTCAGATTGGCCGAGGAGTTGATCAATGCATACGAAGGAAAGTCATCTGGGTATGACAAAAAGGCTCAAATGCATAAACAAGCTACTCAACAAAGAGCATATATCAGTTTGTAATCTTGTATATAAAATAGCAGGAGCATGTCTTTTTTTTTTTTTTTTTTTTTTTTTTTTTTTTTTTTTTTTTTTTTTTTTTTTTTTTTTTTTTTTTTTTTTTTTTTTTTTTTTTTTTTTTTTTTTTTTTTTTTTTTTTTTTTTTTTTTTTTTTTTTTTTTTTTTTTTTTTTTTTTTTTTTTTTTTTTTTTTTTTTTTTTTTTTTTTTTTTTTTTTTTTTTTTTTTTTTTTTTTTTTTTTTTTTTTTTTTTTTTTTTTTTTTTTTTTTTTTTTTTTTTTTTTTTNAATTTTTAAAAAAAATAAGGGGGGAATTTTTTTTTTTTTTTTTTTTTTTTTTTTTTTTTCTCTTTCTCTTTCGTAGGTATTTTGGAATGCTGCAAAAGTAACGGAGGAGAAAAAAGGGCATACAAAAATAGAATAGGAAATGGAGACGTTTTCACCTTGCAAACTCCGATTCTCTTCATTGAATAGCCATGGGTTACTTTAAGGAAGCCTACCACGATGTTAGATTTAATTTCAACCACTTTGTCGTTGATTACAAGCGAAAGTACTACAGTTTGAATCAAAACCCCAGAGTTTTACGTGCAAGAGTGTCCAATCAACCATTTACATCATTGAGAACATACGAGTATTATCCTCCATTGCCAGGGACTAATGAAGAAGAGTCAGAGGAGTCATTTGACGACGAGAATAAGGAGAATGTACCTGAGCATTGGTTAAGTTCAACCAATATGGATTTATTTCCTTCATTTGATGCATGTTTTGACCACACTGAAAATGGCCCACCACCAAGAAGAATATTGTCCGAAGCAGACATTGATCAAGTTGGGGATGATTTGTTGGAGTCATTCAGTTTGGACATGAAGGTAGGAAGTAACTCTAGTCACGGGAGGAATTTTGAAATGGTGCATAGTGACACTGAATCGGGTCATAATATACACACGGACTCGGGTATGCAATATGTGGGTCCTTTCCATTTGGTTTATCCAACACCGCTCTCAACCGAGGTTAAAAAGGGCCACCGCTTGTCTCGAATAATCAGATCGTTTTCCGACGCAGCAACAAGGTGTGGGCAAAACGACGCGTCAAATGCTTCCTCTTTATCCCTTGAAAACATGGAGCAACAAGAAAAATCTGACGAGCAAGTAGGCCGCAAGCCACCACCAACTGTTGACCAACCATCAAACAAGATTTGGAAAATGGTTTTGAACGATGCTTCTTTATCAGCAGCAAGGGTCTCAACTGGAAACTCAACATCGCCAGTTGTCACCAACCAATGCATCAAAGCTGACTTCACTGATGCCAGAGCAGTGCCACCAAAGCAAGGCGATATCTTTGCACAGCACTTGGAACAAGCTAAGTTAAAATATAGTCCTAAATCAAGTATCAGCTAGTAGTGTTTATTACAACATGTTTGTCTATGTAGATCCTGTACGGGTGCAAAATTGGTGCCCGATATTTGTCCCGAGAATAAAACAACAACAAAAAAAAATAAAAAAATGGGCTCGTCCTCTTTGATACCACACCCAACATGCATTTGCTCAAAACACTCAAGCAAACTAACCTAGATATCCGGATACTATGGACATCGGTGTTTCTTCGAATGGCCAGCTATGGTCTTACTAACCAGATACTTGCAGTATACCTCAAAAAGATTAAAATCTCTGAATTTGAGATTGGACTTTTCATGACACTCACACTCGTTGGAGATACCATCATCTCGTACTTTCTCACGTGGAATGCGGACCGCATTGGCCGTCGTAAAGTAATGCTCATTGGGTCCATAATGATGTTTCTTTCAGGAATAGTATTCACCTACTCGACAAATTACTACATTTTGTTGGCAGCAGCCATCTTTGGTGTCATTTCTCCATCTGGTGACGAGACAGGGCCATTCAAATCTGTTGAGGAGGCATCAATGGCCCACTTGACTCCGCATAATCATCGCCCAGAGGTGTTTGCGTTTTATGGATTGTTTTCCACTGCGGGAGCTGCAGTGGGATCATTAATTTGTGGATTCTTAGTTGACTTTATGAATTTGGAGCTTACCTGGAGCTTAAAGAGAAGCTATCAGAGTATCTTTATTGTCTATTCGATAATAGCCGTAGTCAAGTTTATCTTGATGCTGTTTTTATCAGAAAAGTGTGAAGTGTTTGTGGATAATTTTACGGAAGTGACTGAACATTCCATGTTGGTTGAGGAGGAGGAGGAGGAGGAAGAAGAAGAAGAAGGGGAATCAGGCAAATCTATGTCCTTATCTAGCACCACCAGATACTACTTGCCAAGATTGTTGGTCATATTTATGCTAGACTCCTTGGGATACGGGTTCATGCCCTCAGCATGGGTGGTCTACTACCTCAAGTTCACTTTTGAATTGACCGCCAAGGCATTGGGTATATTGTTCTTTGTGACCAATCTGGTTGACGCTGTCTCTTCTTTGCCTTCGGCATATTTTGCCAAATATTTAGGTCCCGTGAAAGCTATCCTATTTACGCAAGCGCCATCAGCGATATTTTTTGGTCTTGTTGCCTTTAGTCAGCTGTATATCGTTGTAGCAGCTTTGTTGTTGCTTTACTACCTAACTTCTACTATGGACGTTGTACCTCGACAAGTATTATTGACGTCTATTATGCCAAAGGAGGAGATAACAAAGGTGATGGGCATTGTCAATATCGGCAAGACATTTGCAAGGTGCATTGGCCCTATTTTTACAGGAAAACTTGCAGAACAAAACAAGTTGCGATACGGGTTTATCATCAACGGTGCATGTGTTCTCTTTGCCGATGTCATACTCGCAATTAGTTTTCTTCATCTCGACCATGACATTTTGCTCAAGCAACGTGTAGACCAAAATATAGAGTAAACGCTAGACTCCAAATCAATTGTATATTATCCTGCAAAGCTAAATCTATAAAGTGGAATAGTAGATTTCAACACACCTTGTTTAGAAAATAGCGTCCAAGGTACAGCAAATACACATTGCCGCCAAACAGGCCATCAAACAATCATTGTTGTTGTTAGTTCTCTGTTGTTGCACGTACATTGGTTGCTGCTGTGGGTAGTAGCCACCTTGTGGCGGGTATGCTTGTTGCTGTTGGTAGTATGCGTTTGGTGGTGGTCCTTGGCCATATCCCTGTTGTTGATGATATCCGAACCCTCTATCCTGAGTGGCTGCGCTGTATTGCGGTTGTGATTGAGGGACATAGCTACCGCCAGCCCCTCCTGGACTATGCGATGGTGGAGGTCCTTGAGGTGGGTTATAGTACTCAGCTTTTGACATTAGTCGGTAAAGGTCTAGTAGTGTGTATTGATGACTTGGTAACGAAACGAAACTATTCGGATAGTTAATTTTTGTTTTTGTATGATGATTTTGGGGAAAAGCCAAGGAATTAAGGAGATATTTTTTATGAAATAAAAACAACAAGCTGTAAAAGACAATCGAGCTTTGGGCCTGCTACAAGGGATGTACAAATTTTGAAGGGGGGGGCGGAGACGGGGGCGTGACTGTTCGTTGCGTATATAAGAATCTGCTATGCGATTGACGATGTGTGACCTCACACCCATCAGCCCCTTCCCCCCTCCCCACTGGAGTTGAAGATTAATTGCCTGAACCGCCCGGATTTTACACAAAACAATGCAATCACCGAGATGCTAAAACATTGTCACTGAGGCTTTTCACAGCGCAATTCCTACACGCATACACACTCACACTCAGAGAGAAAGGCTTATATGACTAGAATCCCACACAGTGACTAAAATAAATGCTATCGTTCTATTCTTTGCATTGCCAATCAAATTGGGCGTTGTTTTTTTTGTTTTTTTTTTTTCGCTCCTGTTAGCCGCAAAAAAAAAAAAAATGAAAATGAATAGTTCGTGATCACCGACTTCGCCCTCTCGAAAGTCATTACTATAACCTAATTGAGGATTTTCCTTAAAAAAATTACTTCTAAACATGCTATTTGAAATAAAATACTAAACTGCAAACCCTGTTTGCTTTTTTCTTCACAACTTTTGTAGAATCTAATACAAATAAACAAATCTTGGGTTTCTATCACCAAGGTTAACCTGTTCACGTTCAGGCAACTCATTAAACTTTTGTTTGTAGGCATCTGTTTGTTTGATCGTGTTCATATGCAAGCAGTACAAGTAGTAAGCAACTGCCGTCACCATGGCAAAACAAACAGCCGCAAGACAGGTGCTCAATCCAGGCTTATAAACAGGAGCATCTTTACTCAAAAAGATAAATGTAGCAATGATACCACCAATGTTTCCAAATCCAATTTGCCAAGCTGTTCCTACTGACTTCCGAAGATGTGATCCGTTGTTTAATGCTGCCCAACATACAATCAACGGCATGGCGGTGTATAGTCCACTAGCAGCCAAGAAACAACCCCCATATCTAACCAGCGGCTTATCAGTAGCACCCAAAATCATTGCTAACCCAGCAATGGCAACAACCATCGCACCAATAAGGAATGGCAATCTCCTTTTGAAATAGTCTGATGCAAACGCCACAACATTAATCACGCCAAATGCACAAACCCAAGGGTAAACAGAGTGTTGTTGGGCTGAAACAGCGGTGTAGCCCATTTGATTAATAATAGTTGCAGCAAAATAAGCATACCCATAAGATGGAATGATCAAACCGAAATATGACAATGATGGCAACCAAATCAACCAATCTTTAAGACACTTGATCACGTCTCTCCAAGTATTCTTGATTTCAAATGCAGAACTGGCACCCGAACTCCACTCCAACTTCTGTTTGATGAACTTGCGCTCTTTTTCATTCAAAAACCTCGACTCTTCCGGGAAATCAGCGATGATGAAGAACAAAATAAAACTTCCAATGACTGTAGCACAGCCCTCCAAGATGAAAATCCAACGCCATGAACTTATACCATGCAACCCATCTATCGCATCAACTCTGTAAGCAATAGCACCCGAAGCAGCACCTGACAATGCTGTACATGAAAAGAAGGCAGAGAATCTCCTCTGTGCCTCCTGTTTCGTGTAGTAGCATGCCAACAAGTAAAAAATCCCACAAAACAACACCGACTCAACCATCCCCAAAAGAAATCTAGTAGCAGCCAAAGCCCCAAAATTTTCAACAAATCCCATACCAACTGTAATCGCTCCAAACAAAAACACTGAACCGGAAAGCCATATGTGTGGTCTAACAAATTTGATGCAGTAGTTCCCCAACACCTCGAAGAAGATGTAAGGAACGAAAAACAAGGTCAATGCAGTATTGTACTGATTCCCAGTCAACTTCAACTCTGTGGCCAAGCCATAAACGTTGGCATTGGAGATATTTACCGTGTCCAAGAAGGAGAAAAAGTAAAGGAGACAGAAGGGAGGCACTACACAGATATCGATCTTCCACATGAGCTTCTTGTGATTTATGCCTAGTTCAGCTGCCAAATTTGCGGTCGCAGCTTCGGCATCGACCTCAGACACTTGCGATTGTGAATCATTCAAGATGGCGTCGTAGGAATCTAACAACTCTGGGTCCTTTATCGTCTCATAATCATGATAACCTTTCTCAACTTCTGACATGATTGAAAAATAAGCTTTGTTTGAATTGGAAGGATGAACTAGTTAGGAGGTGTAGATGCTCTGGAAAGGTGGCGACGGCGAAAGGATTTCTATTTAACTGAATACGTTTTGATTTTTTTTTGGAAATTTCAAAAGAGGTGTGGGTTTGCGCTAGAAAGATAAATCCGTGGCGGGGACGCTAATTTAGTCAATGTGTCATCTCCGGTAAAGGAATGTGGTGGCCTGTCCCGCCGCAATTATAGCAGCAAAAAAAAAAAAAAAAAGAAAAAAGAAAAAAGAAGGCTGCACAGGATCCCTACCCAGTGAGCCGACAGCGCGGATTTAAACGAGGCGATAGATATGGCGGAAGGTCACGGAGTATACCGGTGTAGATGCTTGCATAGCTCCTGAAGCGGGCCAAACTAATCTCTCTTTCGAATGAGTATTGTTGCCTGTGGTGTCTTTGCACTGCAAGTGTGTCAATCTATTGCTTCAAAACTTACTAAAAACGATTTGAGTTTGTAATCCTGGTAGCGATAGAGCTTGCCACAGGGCTATGACCCTAAACATTATATCTACACATGACACGCACTGAATTTTTCTTTTTTTTTTTTTCCTCTCTCTCTCTCTCTCACTCAGTCGCTTTTCCATCTTTGTGGCCCTATCCGCTTGGAAAATCAAATCTTTTAACTTGTTGATTTTTTTTTTTTTCAATAGCTTTGACTACCAAACTACAACCAAAGAGATATCCATACATAAATCATGTCTGACGTTGAAGAGCAATTCGAAGTTGAAGAACAACAACCAGTTGTCCAAGAAGAATTAACCATTGTCAACTTGGCCACCCCAATCCCACTTGATGTCCAAGAAGCTCAACGTGAAGTCAAATTATTCAACAAATGGTCATTCCAAGATATTGAAGTCAAGGACGTTTCATTAGTTGACTACATCCAAGTTGGTCAACCAGTCTTTGTTCCACACACTGCTGGTAAATACGCCACCAAGAGATTCAGAAAGGCTCAATGTCCTATTGTTGAAAGATTGACCAACTCCTTGATGATGAATGGTAGAAACAACGGTAAGAAATTGAAGGCAGTCAGAATCGTTCAACACGCTTTGGAAATCATTCACGTTTTGACTGAACAAAACCCAATCCAAGTTGTTGTTGATGCCATCATCAACTCTGGTGCTAGAGAAGATTCCACCAGAATCGGTTCTTCAGGTGCAGTTAGAAGACAAGCTGTTGATGTTTCACCATTGAGAAGAGTCAACCAAGCTATTGCTTTGATCACTATTGGTGCCAGAGAAGCTTCATTCAGAAACATCAAGACCATTGCTGAATGTTTGGCTGAAGAATTGATCAACGCCGCTAAGGGTTCTTCTACTTCTTATGCCATCAAGAAGAAGGATGAATTGGAAAGAGTTGCTAAATCTAACCGTTAAGGGAAGAAACGCAAAGATGGAGAAACGAAGAAGGAAGAAGAAGGAGAAGGAGAAGGGGAAGGGAGTTCTTTCTCTTTTGTCAGTGGTTTACGAAAACATATCAATTTTATGTATATTAGAGGTTTTTAAGAATCCATTGTGTATGTTTTTTTTTTTTGTTATTGCTGGAACTGGTCTAATATATAAGAACATAATACACACAATCAAGTTAAACTAGAAGATGTAGAATATGACTCTGTATTTAAACTTTAATTGGATATACAATTCTACCAAAAAATGCGAAAACCGACCTTCGTAATAAATGCTCATACCTTTCGACTCTGTCTAATAAAACCTCTTCTTCATCTTCGATATTAATATCCTTGTCAGTGTCTTTTAAATACCCACGTGTCGTGACATTACCGTTAATGTGATCAAGTTTAGTTTTGGCGGCGTCAAGACGTGACTGTAATATCTTCTTCACTAAATGTTCTCGCAACACCAACATGATCAAGAAACAAGCGGTAAAGCAACTTCCAGCAAATATTTGGGTATGCAAATAAGGATTAGCGGCGCCCTTGACAACCAAAGCCAATGCGATCACTTCAGAAACAAGACAAAAGAATGACACGAAGATATTGATCGACGACCAAGCTGCTGGTAACTGTTCCAATTCTCCTTGAAGAACATCGGCAGCCAAAGGCTGAGCCATAGATGACCCGACACCAACAATGAAACCAACAAGCACCACAAAGCCAATCATTTCACCATATGTCTTTGCATTGATCCAGTACGCATACAAGAGTATTGCAATTATTAAACAAATAATGGCAGTGAAATTCGAACGGCCCAACCGATCAGCACCGGCACCCATCGAGGGCCTTCCAACAACTTGAGCTGCGTTCATTATCGCAGTTAACGCTGATCCTTGTTCATGTGACAAGCCGATTGAAGTAGCATACGATGATACTGTAAACAACATCAACGTATATCCAATCAATGCAATGGCGAACCAAAGGGCAACAAGTTGAACACCATAATTCTTTACCACTCGAAGATCAAAAATGACTTTAAAACTATCCTTGATGAATGTTCGACTCAATCTCTGTCTCATTGGTGGGGGCGGGTGTAGTGACCTTCTAGGTCTCATTACTAAGATGACCACAGCAACAGCAAACAACGTAACAAACCCAACCATTCTCAAAGCCCATCTCTGGTCACCAGTGTCTTGAATAACCTTGTTCACACTGAGTGAGAAAATCAACCCACCCAACCCAGCACCAGAAACACAGATCCCCATTGAAGTGGCCCTTTTTTCCACAAACCAAGTGGGCAACGCTAAAGTCGAAGGAATGAAAATGAGGGAAAACGATATTCCCACAGCAACTCCCTGCGACAAGTATAAATGCCAAACTCTGGTGGCAAAAGATGCAGCGATCCATCCAAGCGTTTGAAACGCAAGTCCCAATGCAAATACCAATTTCAACCCAAGAACCTTGTGTAGTACGGCACTATACGGCGATAGGAAATTAGCAAGAAAAACAACAATACCACCAATCAATGCAAAGTCGTATTCAGTAGCCTCGGGAAAAGTACCCGAGTTCAAATAATAGTTTAAAAAGACACCATACCCGGCATTGGCACCCCATGTAGAAAATGAAGCCAACATCGCGCAAATTGACATTAACCAGGCAAAATTTCCATCCGTGGGGTAGTCATCAACATTGCCCTCTTCTTTCTCCAACACCTCCTCAATAGCACTTTCTTGAGTCGACTTTTGTTCCTCTATGTCTAGACTCTGCGCACGACTGGCATTTCGACTAATTGCACGATCTATCTCCTGAGCTATTATGTATTCAGCCTCACCACGTTCTTTATAACTTTTGTCTTCTTGTTCATCTAGCTGCTGGTCGTCTCGTATACCAGTTAATATTCGTGATAGTTCAGATTGACCCGTCCTGTACCTCGTTAATCGGGACGTTTGCTCAGAACGTTGTGAGGTTTGTGTATTTGTCGCATGTAATGCGTGGATTTGGTATGGCGAAATGGTATCGTTGGCCTCCACCGAGTCCGCCACACTATGTTTAGACAGGCTATCGTCAGAAGTGGTTGGCATATTTTTTTTTGCAGTCGTGGTTGATTGTGTGTGTTTTATGTTGGTGATTGAGCAAATGAGTAAATGATTCACCAATGATTATCAACGTTCCTGTAGTTGAGTAAATGATTCTGTCGGGTCAGTTTTCCTATTGAAAGGAGGGTATTCGAAGGAAAGTAAATTTTTTTTTCTTCTACTTTTATTATTTCATACAGTCATATTCCAGGATGAGTAATTTTGCGCCAAAGGCCAAAAAAAGAAAAAAAGAAAAAAAGAAAAAAAAAAAAATACAAGCGGCAAAGACGTTTTCCGTTAGTTTTGTGCGTCTTCGTGGAGAAAGCTCCGATGTTCTAATTCCGATCGGGTGCTTTTGAAGACCCCACCCACCAGCACCCACACACACACCCACACCCACACACTCATCGAACATGCATTGCTTTCAATGCAATCTAGTCGTTGCATAGTGCTAGTGGTGATATGAAGCTACTACCTGCACATATTCGTAGCTGACGACTATTGAAACGTTTGATTGGGTTTTGAACAAACGCCCTAGTAAGAGGAGTAATATATACATCGAGTTGAATGAAGAGGTTGATAGAGACTCCTGTTGATCTAACTAGCAATGTCGATCTGTTGGATTGTATCGTTTGGACAAGGCTCGATTACAGGGTTTGCATATCCCAAGAGGAAGAGAGAATACATGAACCAGGTTTGAATTGAACGGGAGCATTGTTTGAAAATATGTCTCTTTCTCATGAGTCAGTGGTACACTAGGTAGTCACAATTTGACATATTGACAGAGTAAGACCATGGGAAACTCACGCTAGCTTGCTTGATTACACATCTCCTACTGACCACCACACCATCGCAGCTACGTATGAGAATTAACAGTTTCATTATTAATTAAATTAAAAACGTGATATCAAAGTGAAATCTAACGAAATGAAGTCATAAAACATTTTTGTTCAAAGATAAACTTGCAGTATCCTTGAATCACACATCTTCTCAAAGTGAAACAACCATCGATGCAACGGTAAACACTGAAAACAAAAGTAAGTACCTACCGCCCTTCATTGACCCACCAATGCTTCCAACACCGTTAGAGCTAGTGGAGTCAAGAGATCCACCAGAAGATGTGGATGAAGAAGACCCACTTTTTGTAGAACTAGATGATGATATGCTCAATGTTTTCACATCGGAACTAGCAGCAAAGGAACCAGTAGCGCCAGCCAACTCTGACGATTCGCTAGCGTAAACCAAGCCGGTGACGGAAGACGATGAGTCTGAATTGGGTGATTTTGATGCTGCACCTGTTGCTGAGCCTGTACTCACAGTTTGTACTGAATCTCCGCCATTGGCAAAATTGTGTATATCTGTCGCTAAATGTAGGTTGGATAATGAAGGCGTGACTGTGGATACATCAGACGTTGCTGATTTATCAAGTATGAAGCTAGATGGCAAAGTAGTGGTGGGCATGACTGATGTAAATGAGTGACTTGAAAGGAGTAAGACGTCTGTACGGTAGTTGAAAGGAAAGTGGAGTTTGAGTTGATGTATTGACTTGAAGAATGTAGTGCTCTTTATACGTAAGAGTAAAAAAGAAGTAGAGCTCTTGTTTTTAAGGGGAAATATGTGTCAATTTATAAAAAAAAAAAATTTGTTGATGTCTCATTTTAGTGAACATGCATCGAAGTTGCATCTTTTGTATTTTTTTATTTTATTTCTGGCGTTTAAACCAAATGTTCCCCCTGAAACCAATTAGAAAGAGGAAAATTGTGTGCCTATTGTTTCAAGAAAAAAAAAAAAAAAAAAAAAAAGAGAAGAAACCTTCTCTTATTGTTCCCTGAATTGTTTTTTTGCCCCTTTCTTCATAAGGATTTTCGTGCCGTATTGTTAAACTCTCTACAAAAAAGAGCTAAAGAAGCACAAAGGGGACTGTAAACAACAACAAAATACACACCAAAGCTATCATACGTCATATAACGACGACAACTTCTGATGCCCCTGCTGTCGTTGAAGGTTTCATACTGCGCAGGGGTTTTTCGAAGAGCACTCAATTGAAAACAATACAACAACTACCTTTTGATTTGGCCTGAACATAGGTAACTTGGTTTTATCACAATTCGCTATCCCCTTTAAAATAAATAGCACGAGCATTTCATCACTTCTGTTTTTGCGTACTGGGGAGTACGACGATGGGGAAATTGTATTACATCATAGGCCAGCCCATTATTGTGTAACGTTTCTTTTCGTCAGGTACACAATTCAAACAAAAGATCCTGCATATCAGTCCATCCAATGAGCGGGATTAGTCTCAATACACTACCTTTGAAATGAACAGTGCAGTTTTTTTTTGCACGAGGGAATCTCCTTTGCAGATCAAAAGGTATTTCGCTGAGAAACCAACAAAAAGTACATTGTCATAAAGTTCAATGAGTCTGTGATTTAGTGTATCCAGCATTCTGTAAGGTACTTGAGACTAGGGAAGAAGGGGCTTATCAAAAAGAAGTTGGTAGTACGATCTGACCCTGACTTAGGTACGAGAGAAAAAATAGAAAAAAATAATTTCGTTTCTGCGTGTTTGTTTGTTGTGTTTGTTGTGTTTGTTTATGTTTCATCTCAACTAAGAAGGAGAAGAGAATGTTTTTGATCAAATCAAGCACAAAACCCTTCATCTGTAGACGACAGTAGTAGCTTCTCCCTTTCCCCCATTACCTGCGGAAACATCTAACCTGCGGCCCTTCCTACCCCCTGATTTTAAACTCTTCTTTGTTCAAGATAGGTTTCGTCGTATTCTTGGCAGATTCCCACTTTACGCGTTTGTATTGTGATTGCTCTTTTCTTCAGTAGGAGTTTCGCATTGGAATTCCTGGTTAGACGAGAGGTCGTCTTGGTTACACAGTTGACTCATGTTGAATTACACAATGGCATACCTCAAATTAAAACACTGTTAGAGGATTAGATTGAAAGAGCATGTGCAGTTCTTTTCATACACATAGAATTCGACTCATTACATGCACAACTTTGATTATAGCATGGTACGGCGGCACTCCTTCGAGCAAAGATAGTATGACATCGCATAGATATAGACCCTCGTAAACGATTCATGTTCAGGCGAGTTGGGTAGTCATAAACAGTCTCATACAAAACTTGTATCAATGAATAGTGTCTACCAAATGAAGTTTTTTTTTAGTGATGGTTGGTTGCAAAGATTTCAAAAACAAGGAAACAAAAAATATAGTCACATACAACACAGTGCAGACACATGACTCAGCCACCCCCCAAGTTCATCGATCTTGTCACTAAATCACTCGACACTTCTGAATGGCCATTGCCAGAAGTTGACAACACCATACCTAGGTTCAATTATGAAATCATCAAGGTAAACAAGCAAGTGTCACACATACTTGTACATCAGTTGAAGAAAGTAACCACTGAACTTGAACTACATCCCAAGTTTGCGTCTGTGATCGTCTCTGAGAAGTATCATGTCCATGTGGGTCCTGAGTCGAGTTGTGTTGCAAAATTATGGGAAACCTATCTTGAAGAGATTGATTCTGGTCAAGTATGCCAGCGTGTGTCAACACCACAGCTTGAGCCCAATAACATACCCCATAGAGCATTCGGGTTTCTAGAGGAGCCTGTCAAAGAGTACTCCATTGGAAATGAAAGTTGTTCGTTTCAGCATTTGCTGCTAAAGCCAATCTCGTGCAATGTTATTATTCAAGTGCCGGTGATTTTACAGCCACGACAGCCACTTCAAGAGCCAAGTTTGCCGTGTTGGGAATGCAACAACAAGATTAATCTATTTGACCTAGTTGAGGAAAATCTCGATTCCAAAATGCCTCGACTAACGAATGAAGCAACAACACTTCTTCTAAAACAACACAACCTAGTCAACAAATACTCAAGTGGACTTGAATTGCCAGTAATTTCACCAGATATCGGGAACCCTTTGACCGATTTTGATTTTGTTTCTTGGAAGAGTCCAGACTTGGCAAGGAGCTACGATATGCACCAGCTCAACTTGTTTTTATTTGAACGTGACATCACACACAGTAGGAAGTACATGGTACAACCAACGGCAACTCCATACCAACAAGAGAACAAGTCTGCAGAATACATCCTCCAACTGTACACAAACCAGCACTTTGATACCAAACCGTGGCATTTAAGCAAGTACCAACTAATTGTTGAAATGGAGTGGAAACCAATAACGTCCAACATTAAAACCTTGCAAAGTCACTTTCTTTATGAAAATATTGACTCCAAAGTGGACACCACTATTCAGCCAATGAGCACTGTTTCTGAAGATGGTATCAAATTAGGGCCTTGTGTGGTTGAAGACACGTTGGTTTTGGACTACCCGCACTTACAAGAGCAGACAACCACAACGCAACTTGAGAACGACAATGCTGCAACAAATCTAGCAACGTATCATGACGATACTGACGCACTAGTAAAGTTGGTGGCTACAAAGAAACGCAAGTTGAATTCAAAAATGGTTGACATACCTCAAGAACTAGCATTATTACTGTTTCTACACCCCAATAAAGAAGCGACAAAACCAGACGTCGAAGAGGACACCAAAGAAAACACATCCACAGAGTTGAATGCTCCTCAATACAGTGTCTTTTTCGACTCGTCCTTTTCAGATTCGACCAAAGAGTATCAATTCGCATCCAATCAGTATATCGCACTAACGCAATCGTTCTGGAACAAGGACTACACAACCGCCAAAACATTGAGTGAGAAGCTTTGCGTAATTGAAGTCAAGTTCGGCCACGCGGTTGACATTGTCATAAACACAACTTCGGCAATCTATACAACCTCAGCTGATTTGTTAATTCAAGGCGATGGAAAATCAACCGAGTTTCTCATTCTTGAAGAGATTTTAACCATGAAACAACATTTCCATAGGTTGTATATTGTTGCCATTGTGAATACCCCATCCTTTGTTGACTATGCCGGACCGAAATTGGCAAAATTGCAGCTAATTTGTCTCTCCCTCAACATCAATCTCCTATTTGTGTCTCAGGAAGATGTCTTGCTTTGGTGTTTGGAGATTATCCATCTGGAACTGCCCCAGTTGATTGATGAACCATTGGATTTGGAAAATCAACACTGTGTGTTTCTATGTGAGTGTGGATTAACTTATTTCCAATCCAGAGAGATATTGAAAATGACTAGTCTTGACGAGTTTATCACGTGCACTGTGGAAGAGAAGTTGAAGAAATTCAAGGACTTGGTGACACCTGAGTTATTGGTAAGTTCTTGGCGAGTTGAAAACTTAATGACTCCTCTTACTAACTGCCTTTTTTTAGTGTAAGCTCGACTTTACATTCATGGAGAGTATTTGCTAAAGTGGAAAGTATATAATACAATGGAATGGAAAATAACAAATTGTAGTCCTAAAGCGTATCCTTCTTCGATATTTACTCTGTTATTGAAGCAAAATTATTTCATTAAAATAAAATCCAAAGCAGTATTACAAAAGAAAAAAAAATGAATCACTCTCACTTTAAGCTCCTGCTCCACCTTTTTTTCAACCTCAACACTCTTAATCACCCAGCCCAGGCATCGACACCAACAATGATCGCTCTCACAGCACTTACTCCTCATTAGCTGCAAAAACTATTCCACAAAATGTATCAAATTACACGACCTTTTATTCTCATTTTTTTTTATTTTTTTTTTTTTTTGATCGCAACACGTACGACGTTTTCTTTTTTTTTTTTTTTTTTCCTTTTCCCAACAAGTCAACACCAACCAGTCAACAAACAAAACAACCTTTCCACAACCATTGAATCACGTTTTAAATCATACAATGGTCGTCTTAGCAGCCTCAATATGTACCCGTGGTGGCAAGCCTCTCTTATCAAGACAATTCAGAGACATTTCTAAAGACAGGATCACTGCGCTCTTGGCCAATTTCCCAAGCTTGATTTCCAATTCTGCCAGCCAACACACCACCGTTGAGGATGAGAATGTGAGATATGTGTATCAGCCATTGGAAGAATTCTATATCGTTTTAATATCAAACAAGACGTCAAATATTTTGCAAGATATCGATACGTTGCATCTTTTTGCACTGGCTGTTTCAAATTTGTTGCGTAATGTTGATGAGCGTGAGATCTTTGATTCGGCATTTGATATAATCGATGCATTTGACGAGATTATTAATATGGGGTATAAGGAGAATTTAACCATTAGTCAAGTGCAAACGTTTTTGGAGATGCATTCCCATGAAGAAAAAATTCAAGAGATTATTGAGAGGAATAAGGAGTTTGAAGCTGCTGAGGAAAGAAAAAGAAGAGCTAAGGAGATTCAAAGAAGAGAGTTGGCAAATAGAAACAATGACGATTTCGGTCAACGATTTGGCGGTGGTGGTGCTGGCGGTGGTGCATATTCTAGCTTGAGCCAACCAACCGTGCAACAACCAGTGTATCAACCTCCATTACCCATCGAAACTGAAAAAGAAACAAAATCAACATTCAGTTCAAGACCAAGAGGCGGGGGACTACAATTGGGTAAAAAGACTAACAGGCCACTCGCACCAGCCAATGAACCATTGTTGAGTAACCAACAACCGGCATTTGCCAGACCTTCTCAATCATCATCTTCTTCTTCCACTCCAGCACAATATCAGCAATCACCAGCACCGCCATCCAAGACGGTGTCACCTGCTCCACAAGCCCCCAAAGTGCCCAACAACGGTATCCTCATCACTGTCAATGAAAAGGTCAATGCTCGTTTATCTCGTGAAGGATCGGTTCTTTCATCTGAAGTCAAAGGCGATTTGCAATTGAGAATCAATGATCAGTCCTTGGCCAACGCCAAGATTTTGTTAAAGATTAGTGACAAGGCCGACAAGAAACAGTACAAGACACATCCAAATGTCGATCGAAACTTGTTTCAGAATGAAAGTATATTGACAGTCAAGGACAAGTCAAAGACCTTCCCATCAAACGACCAAGCTTTGGGTGTTTTGAGATGGAGATATGTGGGTAAACAAGATGACTTGACATCAATCCCCATCTTGATTACCGCTTGGGTGAACATTGATGATAACGCAATTGCTCAAGTCACGCTAGAGTATGAGTTACCTGCTGATTTTACATCATCGCATCCAAACGACGCTTTCAAAGTTGAAAATGTCAAGGTATTGATTCCAATTGTGAGCCATGATGTTGTATTACAAGAGGGCAATGATGCTATATCGTATGACATTTTGGACCAAACAGGAATTGTATTCAATATTGGGTCCATTACACTCGACGACCCACAAGGGTCATTTGAGTTTGCGGTTCCCGTCGAAGGCGGAGATGAAGAATCGTTGTTCCCCTTGGAAGTTCAATTTGATATAAACAATGTCGACTTGGTTGAAAGTGATGTGTCCTTGGGAGGAGTCTCTGTCACTGATGTCGTTTCGAATGACGACGATGAAAACTCTTTGCCATTTGATTTACACGCCAACATCATTTCAGAGAGCTATATAATAGAATAAGATTGTAACAATACATTTCTGTATTCTATATGTTGCATATGGGCACATTGTATTATCATTTTCTATAAAACTATAGTAGTTCCACTTAGAGCGATTGATATATGGCACCCCAACCCTTGCTCTTGATTGTACTTGTTCAAATCGGTTAAAATGTGTTTTCTAGGATCAGTAATTTCACGGATATTGGAAAGTATTGGTTCCTTAACATGGTTGATTATGACATTTAGTCCCTTCAACGGTACTTCCACGTCACTACCCCCTAGCTTCTTGCACTCCTGATTCAATTGGTTTAATTCGTAAATCACATGCTTTGGAGTCAAGTGTCCATACAATTTGTTTGGATCAGTTTCTTTTGCATTTGAACATTCCAAAACCACTCCTTTCAATTTGTGCCCTAGCACCAACGGCGCCACGCTTTGCCAAATCTTCAAGTTGCGTTGTAGTTTACTAACCATATCACTTTCAAAGTCGCCAAACACAAGTAGATACGCATCGTTTTTCGATATCAAAAATGACGTGGATTGGTAATGATGCACATCGGGATCAGAGCTTTTCCGATGGGTTGAAGCCATTGTATAGTGGGTTTCATTAACTCCTGCAGGTATCGTAGTAATGCTTGAATGCCTCCCACCTTTTTTACTCTCAATCATGTTTAATTCACCATGGCTTACTGGAAACATTTGTACGTCATAATTGCCTATTTTATGGGTAATATCAAATTCCAACGGTGCCAATTCAAGAATATCAAAGCTCGGCATATTGGGCCACACTATCCCGTTAAAATAGTGCTGTTGGAGCGAATTGATTGTGTATTTGGATCCGTAAACTTGTTTTGGTGGGTTATTTACCGTGAAACCAGCAGAGTTTATCACCAATGATGACACGTGATCCAAATGCGGATGAGTTATTAGAAAATTGTTCAACTTGTTGAACAAAAGTTTGGAGTATGTGATGGTGTTGTATTCGTTGAAATTGACAAATGGTTCTATACGCTTGACATCCTGGTGGTAATAATAGTCAATAGGTTCAGAATCGAAATAGTAATTTAGCAAGTTACATGCTGATTGATGGTACTTGCTTTCTTGATATATGATTTCTGTGAGCTTACCCATACCTGAACCGGCATCAATGCAAAGTAGCTCTTCTGTGTTGGTCTTGTATGTATTGCTGTTGCTGTTGCTGCTGCTGCTGCTGTTGCTGTTGCTGTTGCTGTTGCCACCCTCAGATTCAGCGCCAGTTTCCAATTCCAAAAGTTCCAGATAAGTGACATCTGTAGATTTAAGTAGTAGTGAACATGTATTGCCCTCTAATGGACCACCACTAGCACCTAAAAACGTTATTTCAAATGACATGTGTGAATACTCCGAGAATTGTGCTCTATTTCTTGTGTAGTGCGCTTCTATTAGTCTTGAGTAAGTACTAACGACAAAAGAGGTAGATATACCAGAGAAGTTAGGATAGATATCTGGTATTTGTAAGTAAAGATTGGTTAAAACAGCTTTAAAGAAGGAACAGACAAACAAAAAAAAAAGAAATTTTAATAACATTTGAAATTTTGTGGAGAGAAAATCATTGTCGTAATCAACAAATACACGACACGCCCCAGTTGAGTAAGTAACCTTTTTACACTTTACAGAGTCTGATTCAAATAGATAGAGCTTTGAAAGGGTAGAGCTATAGACGGAATTGCACTTCTGAAAGCTCTTTTCCATTTCAGACCCATAAAGCCGGGTATTAATCTACCCGCTGCAATATTTTCAAAAAGATTTGCTCTTTTTGTTTCAAGCATTTACTTCACATACACAAGTGTAGTTCAACTTTACTCTATTGCTGTTTACTGGCATACCCCCTGATATCCTTTGCAAACCTCCAACTTTGGTTCTCTACTTTGGCATCTTTGACAAACTCAAATTTGACCTTTCCCGACTCCTCATCCAACTTGATGACCACATACGAATACACTTCTCCTGATCTTGCATCTCTATAGAACAACACCCTCATTGAGTCATCAACTACTTTCCTCACTTGATCCTCATTGATCTTGACATAGTCCTTATCCTCCGGTATCAAGTTTCTCAACAATGGGATAGCCAAATGTGACCCAAACCCAGTGGCAATGGTAGATGCATGATAAGTGACTCCCAACAAGTCAACGTATTTCAAAAATGGTTTCCTGTCAGCATCAAACCCACCAACAACAATACTGTTCCATAATGGATCCATCTTTGACCTTCTATTGTACATAACTCTAGACAAATATTCATGCACATTAGGAGCTTTCAAGTAATTTCCACCATCATTATCATAAACCTCTTCTTCAATCTCCAATTCGTCAAGAAGTCTAGTTATATATTGGAAATCGGATATGTCCCCCGATACGCCAACAACAGTCTCCAGTCCCACTTTAATCAACCGCTCAATATTGTTGAAACGCAACAAGGACCCATAAGACCCAACATGGTCAGCAGCCATAATGATACCGTTGGCAAATTTGGAGGCTATAACCGATGTACCAGTGATTATAGGCTGTTGAGTATTCATTTTGGGGAATTGATGTGCATGGTGGTTGTAGTCTTTAAACTCTTCATTGTTGGCATTGGCGATGTTGTAGTTGTAAGCTCCATAGGTCTCGTTCGAGGGTCTACCCCATTGATATGGATCGTGATTCATCTTTTATTGTGGCAATTGAGAGAAGTGTTTTGGCAAAGGATTGGATTTGGAATTCTTTTGAGTGGCGATTCATTTCTTTTTTTTTTTTTTTTTTTGTTGTCTTGTCTCGTTTGACTTCATTATTTGCAATTTCTAACTTGAAGAGTAGAGCAGAGAGACGGGGTAGCAACAGCAAAGACAATCAATCATAAGGAAGTGTAGTACACCTCATGAGAGATCGATCCACCTGGCAGAAGCAATAGTGCCTTACAATTGTCAATCAGTGGACAGTTTCGAAACGTTCATTGTATATTTTACCTCTACACTCTCGACCAATGCTCTAAAATACCCCACTTTCTTCTCTAAAACACAACATCAGCACCTCCACTACTTACCTGATCAATCTCCCAATCTTTTATAGTTGGGTATCTGAATCTTTTAGGCAACTCACTTCTCGAAAAGAATTCTCCATTTTGAGGCTCAACTGGACTCTTGTGGTGGAAACTTCTAGATTGAGATCCACTGGATGATGATGATGATGAAGATGACATACCAACTGATCCTGGTACAACTCCCTTTGGTGCAAGTGGGTGTGGCCCTGCTGCATGAGGTTCTAGAATGGAACAAATGTTAGTAAACATGAAAAATTTCAGTCACAAGGTAATGATTCAACATACTTGGAACAGGGTGGGGTCCTCCCACAAACTTTATCGTGTGTTTTAATAGTCTAATTGATGCCTTCATTGTGTGTACGTAATGATTTGTGTAGAGATGTTTGCTGATTTGCTAATCCAACACTGATGCCATTTTTTTTTTCCCTTCATATTCCCCGGCAAAAGAAACATCTTTTGATTTTGATAGGGAGAGAGAGAGAGAGAGAGAGAGAGAGTTGCGCTACCAGAGACCTTGTATCCGATTTCCCTGCTATTTCCGGGAAAACCAATCATACAGTGAGCAAGTAGTAGTAGTAACAGTTACATCATCTAATACAACCTCCTATCTGTTGATGAAGTGCTATGAACAGGCTACTCCCATACAATTACCAATATAAAAAATGTTTATAAGGAGTTGTCATTTCGAAAGTAGCTGAAACTGGCACATATGCGGACTTTGCTATCTTCTAACGACAGCATTTGGACATACACAAATGGGTAAAGTAGTTCACCCCTTGACTGATTCTCACTACTCTGGGTCTATATCTCTTTCTCTCTCTTTCTGTTGACTTGCAATGGTCAATTTTGTGCTTTTTCGACACTCCCATTTGCCTCCTACTGCAAGAAAACTATCTTCCCTTTTTGTTGTCTTTTTTTTTTTTTTTTTTTTTTTTCAACCCCCATCATAACGTATTCAT